CTTACTATACTACCTTGAGTCTAAAACAATTAAAGTGACTTTTTATTTTAGTGGTATTATTAATCCCTTTATGAACTTTTCCCCAAATCTTTTCCTCTTAAATGCTTATAACTTTCTTTTATCTGTTGTGATACTTCTGAAATCTAAATTCTTTCCAGTTCTGGAATAGTTTGATTTTTTAAATATTGGTCCTTTTTAGAGGTATCAAAAGGCCATGGCTATATTCAGTTGAATTGGATGTGGGATCCTATTTTTTGATTTAAGTTTATTTAAAAAGTATCTATAATAGTACATTTACCAGGTTTTAAAAACATACTCAGTTATCTTAAACTGTTGGCATTTTTTAAATTACTGCTAACTATATTTATCATGGTAACCATTGATTAACATACAGAATTGTTGAATCAGTATGATGTACACCAGAAACTTAATATAATATTGTCTGTCAGTTATACTTCAGTAATAATATATATATGAACAGCAATAATAAAAAGTAAAATAAAAAATATAAAAAGTTTTTTAAAATTACTGTAGTTCTTAGCACCAGCCCTAATTAGACTGTACATTTCTTGAAGATAAGATCAGTAAATACTCATCAAATTTTTATTATTTAATTCCTTGCAATCAAACTTTACCCCGTTTTTTTTTCCCCCTTAAATCACAGAAAACATTCAGGAGGAATACTGTTGCAGCTGAAATTGGTGGGGAGTTCACTACTTTTTTCAGTTAAATTATTTTAAAATGTTCTTCATTGATGGAAAGCAGTTACATTTTGAAATGCATTGTTTCTAATGACATTTCTGTAGTTTTAAACTTTTTAATGAACTTCATGTAGGACAAATGATAATTTGTATATAAAGAACTTGGTAAAAATTTTGCTTAATGTAAATATAGTCACAATTAATATAGACCCATCAATATATTTTTGATAATTTTTCATGTATGGTAAAAGTTAAAGTGGCAAACTGATATTCTGATATACAAATTGAAGTTTTGAGAGTTAATGTGGGAAAATAGGAGGTTTTTAGACTTTCTTAAAAAGACTTTGTTAAAATTTTAGGACAAAATTTTCTTGACATCATTGTTTTGATCTAACTTTACACTCTTTGATAATGTTTTAGAAAATGTGCACAATCAAAATTGGTAGTTATAATTTCTGTTAACACAGACAGTATATGTTTTAAATCTTCATGTATGCCTGTTTTGACCCAAATCTGTGGAAGTATCATGTGTTAAGTTCTCCTTGTCTCCTTTTGTTCATTTACAACTAAGTGACCTTGTTATTAAAGTATATGCATATATGGAATCTTGTGTACTTGGCGGTGGTTGTTTTTCTTTTCTTTTTAAGTTTTTGTTTTAGGTAAGGGGGAGAGCATTGTTATATGAGATGTGATTACAAATCAGAGACAGTCTGTAAACCACATGTAACCATTCTGAATTAAGGATCGGTTTCCACTTATTTTAGTAATGCAGTATTTTTCACAATTATTCCAAATAAGATTACCAACTTCCAAATGCTTTATACTTTTTATAATACCTATCTACCTGCAAGAAAGATATAAAACCAAAGTGATTATTTCAGGTAATGGGGCTTATAACTATGAGTTAGTCACTATAATTAATAATGTGGGCTCTGGAGTCAAAGACCTGGCTCTGCCACTCGTTTGAGATCTTGGGCAAGTTATTAACCTTATAGGGATAAGAGTAGTATCTGCTTCATACTACATATGAAATACTCATAACAGTGCCTGGCATGTGGCAGTTAGTCGATAAATGTTAGCTGCAAGGCTGCTGTGCTTTATAGATCCCTGGATCATGCAGTGCATAGTCTGCCTAACTGTATGCTACAGCTGTGCTTAGCTGTTGTTATTCTCGTTACTATTATTATCCCATTCCTGTCTCTTGTAGGCTAGTTTTTTCCCTTTGGAATTATAACCGGTGTTATTTTTTTTTCCTTTTCCCCAGTCTTTAGTTGTGATAGATGTTCAGGGTGATAATTGTATTTAAAAGTAACTTAAGAATAATTTGAGTCTAAAATCGAAAAGCAGTAACATATTTTTATATGATACACATTTAAAAAAGCATCCTGAATAATGAATTAACACTGAGTGATAAGTTCCATTACTTAGAAAAGAAAAAAAAAATATGCGTTATCTATCTTCTTTTGCCACTGTTAATAAGGAGTGATATCTTAATTGTTTTTCATGATGCTTATATTTACCAGTCAGTCTACTCTTTGGACCTGATTGTACTGTACAGCACTGAGAAATTCATAGACCTGGGACCATTCATCCAGGGGAATAGAAGATTCAGGGTTTTTTTGTGTTGTTTTGTTTTGTTTTTTAGCAGGCTTCATGCCCAGTGTGCAGCCAAATATGGGGCTTGAACTTATGGGCCTGAGATCAAGACCGACCTGAGCAGAGATCAAGAGTCAAACCCCTAACAGACTGAGCCACCCAGGTACCCCTAAAAGATTCAGTTTTAGGGGCATCTGGGTGGCTCAATGGGTTAAGCCTCTGCCTTCAGCTCCGGTCATGATCTCGGGGTCCTGGAATCAGGCCCTGCATTGCATCAGGCTCCCTGCTCAGTGGGGAGCCTGCTTTCCCCCCTCTCTCTCTGCCTGCCTCTCTGCCTACTTGTGATGTCTCTGTCAAATAAATAAATAAAATCTTAAGAAAAAAAAAGATTCAGTTTTAATGTGAATAAATATTTTAGTAAAAGAACATTGTTTCAGCATAGACACTGATATTTTACTTCGACATGTAGGGGGATTTTGGCTTTTAGGGGGCTTTTTGGGAGGCTTTTTCACTTTGGTCTAAATTATAACTGAAAAGAATCACTGAAAGGGAAAGACCAGTATCACCGTATTCCAGTTGAGTGGATGTTTGAATACAGTGTTTTTCCCCAACCAAAGGGTTAGTGTTCTGAAAACGCTGCTGCTGGTTGAGGGATTTGAGGTCTTATATTCTTTGAGGAAATATAGCTTGAAATCGTATTAACAAAACCTGTTCTGTTCTGGCAACTTGGAAAAATTGAGTTGAGGAAAGCAAACTTTTGAAAGAACCCATGTGAAGTTTTTATGTTTTTACATTCACTTGAAATAAATTAGTAAAATTGGGATATAAAAGACTGATAACAGTATGTTTTTAAGGCCTCTCTTAAGTACTAGAAGCTTCAGGATCTTCCCACAATTTCAAACATGTTTGTAATTTTCTTATAGGTAATATCCATAATACTGGCTTCTTTTCTCCATTTCTCCATCCAAGGGGTTTTTTTTCCTGATTGCATGGCCTAGAAATTCACTAAATATTGGAATGGAAAAAACTAGGTCACATTTATTAATACAGTTGGCATAGCTGAATCGGTCAGTTTCAAGTTTTGATTACAATGTACAGGATCATATGTTTTACTATTTCTTACACAATTATGTGGAGCCCAGGTTCAAGCTAAGCTGCCAGCACCCAAGTGTACATGTCTGCTCCCTTCCTCCTAACCACAGCATGCAGTTCTAAAGTGCTTAAGTTTAGATTCCTCAACTGCCTTCTCTTCTCATATCCTACTCTAATTCCTTTTTCCTAAATGCAGTGAAACATTTTGGTTAATCCAGGCCCCAGATCCTTGTATTGCAGGAAAAAGTGTTCAATAAAGCCATGAATAATAGGATTTTTCTATAAAGCTAACTCAGAAGGAGAAGGGTTACTGACTAGCATCCCAGACCTCATATACATTAGCTACTCATTTAATTTTAGAATGTCCTGGAGATCAAAGTTGATCTTGAAATAAAGAGCTAGGATTCTTGCTGCTATTCCATGTAATTAAAATGCAAATGTCAGGCCATCTCAAAAAGCCTGTTGAGCACAGACTATTAAGGCTAGACTCCAATTAACATTTCCTGGGTTCCTATAATGTGCCAAATATTGTTCAGAGGAAAAAAAATCTGTAAATTTCCACAAGGGGTTCACAAAGAGGGGGCAGTCTGAAAGAATTACAGTGGTGTGTGTTCAAGCCATGTTAGAACTGTGCACAGTGTGTGCTATGAAACATATCAAGGGAGAGATCTCCAGCCTGGGAAAATCCTAGCTTTCCCGACTCCCAGCTCTACCCAGGAATATAGGACAACTAGGCAGGGTGGGGGCACCTATCTCTGGAAACATTTCACTCTAGTTGGGATTAATCATGTTATCCGTTGTTAATGTCTTTGTCCTTCACTGTCCTACATGTAAACTCCGTCAAGACAGGGAATGTACTTTATTCCCCCTTGTCTTGTCCACCGCTGTCTTCTCATTGCTGTTTCACATGCTTGGAACTTAATAGGCATACCATCAATATTTGTTGATTGATAGATAAATGTAAGAATAAATGGGATAGACATTGAGACTGGCTTTAAGGAGAAAGCAGTTTATGAGGTTGGCATCAGAGATAATAATTAGAATGTAAACCACTGGGCATACCATCCCAGTGTTTATCAGAAACTGGGCAGTTTATCAGAAAAGGCAAGTATTTAGATGGAAGTGGCAGGGGGAGGTTTTTAAAGACATAACACAGTTGTTGACTACTGGTGGCGGGTGGAAGGGGCAGCAAGAAGGCTAAATATGTTCCCAGAGGTTTATTGTTTTGGAACTACATTTTTTTTTCTTTTGTAAATTAGTTCTTTACCCATCGAATTATTTGGGGAGCTCTGAATGGCTATAGCTTAAAGATACAGCGGCTTCTGAGTTACTTTTACATTTTTTTCTTATGAGCTAGTGACGTTCCCCAAGCGACAAAACGACCGGAACTCCCAAGTTTTCTAAATGCTGGTAAGGAAAGGGTGTGGAAATGCCAGGCACGTAATTGCGGCACCTGGCTCCGTTGCCCCGCAAGCTGATTCCCACGCGGGCCGGCCTCCGTCGCGCAGCCCCGCCTAACGTGAGGGTCGCGCAGCCTGCGTCCCGCACCTTGATTGGCTGCGTTGGGGCTGCGTCTGCGGGCTCACGGGTCTCCTGTGCCCTGATTGGCTGGGGGAATTCGCGGCCCTGTTGGGACACTAGTCTCGGGGCCCTGACCCCTGTTCCCAGGCCTCGGGAAGACGGCGGGCCACGGGAAACCTCGGCGGGGGGAGGGAGGAAGGACGGAACCAGGGACCCGGGACTCACTGCGTCTTGCACGGAGTGGACAGGTGAGTCGCACCCCTTTCTCCGCACCCCCGGGGTGGGCCTCACCAGCAACACAGCGGCCGACCGGCAGGGGTTGGGGGCCGCGCACCGAGAAACGGGACTCCCCGCCAGCTCGCTCAGCATGCCTGGCCTGGGCGGATGCCCAGGCGTCGTAGGTCAGAGGTTCTGGAAAAGCGCAGGCGCCACAGGATGGATATGTGGTTTTCGATCATTCCCCAAGATTTTCTTCCTTTCGGTCCTCATTTTTACTTGTTTATACACATTGGGGTTAATTTGAAACTGTCAGCAGATAGTGCATGTTATAAAGTAGAGCTTAATGGAATTGTTACCGATGTTGTAGAGCGTAGTGTGTAAAGTATGAATATTGCGCATATTCTTGAAGTGAACTTAACACTTCAAGAATGCTTAAGAAACAGGATTATCTGGGAATAGACCATGTTGTGATTTAACAAACATTTTCCAAGTGTATTGTTGTGTAGGGCAAAGGGTAAGCGCTGTACTCTGAAGCCAAGTTGTTGGGTTTGAATCCAAGGTCTGCTGCCGTTTGTTAGTTGAGCAGACCTTGGGGAGGTTACTTTACCTGCATCTGTTTCTTCAACTTTAAAGTGGGTCATTGTGGTGACTTTTCTGAGTACTCTGTAAGTGGTTTATGATATTAACTCAGTTTAGTCTGAACAGGGACCCAGGATGTAGTGTCCCCATTTTCCTGACACTCCAGCTGAGGCACAGAGAAGTGATGTGACTTTTCCCAAGTCCCAACATAACCAGTGACCAGAATTAAGCCTGTGCAGACCACAGTTTTACACACTACCTTAGGTTGCCTCATGAACTGGATTTGTTCATTCAGTTTCAGTTGACAAATACTGATTTTGTTCTTCTGTGGACCAAGTTCTTTGCTGGGTACAGGGGACAGAGAAGAACAGGACTCAGACTCTGCCCCGCCAGCACTTGCAGTCTAGTACAGGTTGTTTATAGCCGGGCTGCAGGTGCCCGTGAATCCCGGTAAAATCTTTTCCAAAACGTTGTGAGTACAGGTCTTTTCTTTTTTGTTCTTTTTGGAAAGAGAGTCTGGGGCTCTCACCAGGTTCTCTAGTGGGTCTGAGACTGAAAGTTATGAAGAAACATTTTAGCAGAAGAGCTGGAATCTGATGTAATGCCTGACAACACAGCATGAGCTTAAAAAAATAAAAAAAGAAAGACAAAACCATTGGTTGAATGGATGAAGAACTTTACAGAAGTTTAAGTGCTACAGTAGGGTAAAGAAGAAGGTGCTATGGAAGAACACATGCAAAGGTCCTCCTTGTCCAGCAGTGCCTCCTAGAGTCAGCAGTGCCCCTGAAGTGAATGGTAGGGAAGCAATTCATTGGAACATAGTGGTGACAAATCTCTGCCCTCCTGGAGGGTGAGACAGAAACAACACATGAACAGATGCAGCTGTGACAGGTGGCAAAGAGAAGCAGTCCATGGTGCCATGAGAGCCTATAATGGGGACAAGTGGCTTCATCTATTCAAGACAGGGAAGTTTCCCAGAGAGAGCGGCACTCAGTCCTAGGAGTTAGACAGGGGCACTCTGGCCGTGGGGAACTGCCCTCAGCCTTCAAAGACCTTGTGGTGGGAACAGGCAGAGCACCAGGGACTGAAAAGAACTGGTGTGGCTGGTGGGGTTGGGGGGGATTGGAGGGGAGGGGCACAGATTTGGGTGGTGACAGAGCCCAGACAGAGGCCTTTTAGACCATGGTGTAAGACGTTTTTATTTTGTTTTATGTCTTTGTCCTAAAGTGCCATTGAAAAGTTTATTGCAGGGAGGTGACAAGATCACATTTTGAGAAGAAGTTGGAAAGAAGCCCAAGTGATTAACTGAAGCCCTGGATGAGGACAGGATCCCTGAGGAGAAACTGTAAGGTAAGAGGAGGAGAGGGTCTAGAATCAAGCCTTGAAGATGAGCCTGCAAAGAAGACAGATAAAAGGAAGTGAGAGTGTAGCAGGGTGGGGAGGGGAAGAGAATGGAGAGTGGGAAGTCTTGGAAATCCGGAGAGAGAGTATTTCCTGGAGAAAGTGGTCAACTATGCTGAAAGCTTACAGAGGTCAAAAGAGGAAGGAACAGAGCTCATTGGCTCTAATCACATGGAAATTGTCTTTATTGGGATCTATATAAGTAGGAGGAAAGGAATTGGAGAGAAAGAAGCATCTGCAAGAATTAACTGAGGATGGGGCGCCTGTGGTTGTTGAGGATGTGGCTCAGTTGGTTGAGCGTCTGCCTTTGGCTCGGGTCATGGTTTCGGGATCCTGGAATCAGGCCCCTCATCAGTTCCCTGCCCAGCGGGGAGCCTGCTTCCCCCCTCCCTCTGCCTGTTGCTCTCCCTACTTGTGCTCTCTCTGTTGAATAAATAAAATCTTAAAAAAAATTCACTGAGGGTTAAGAGAAAATAGGGTTTTAGCTAGGGTGGCAGTGAGAAGAGCCATTGAGCTGAAGGATGGGAGCCCCAGAGAGGAGGATACAGCTGAAGGAGTAAGTATATGAGAATGAGGGGCTCTGGAGGTTTTCAGGCCAGAGAGGTTGGAATCAGTACAGAAGCAGAGATTACCCTGGATGCTGAAGGACGTAATTGTGGGAAAGGGGAGACAGCAGAAGGTTTACGTTTGGTGTAATGAGTTGCTCTCCTTTCTTTGTACCAAGTAGAGGCGGGAGCATGGAATGAGAGTGGAGTAGGGGTCAGGGGAAGCTGGAGGTCCAAGCTGAGGAGCTTTGACATCATTGCATGGGGGTATGCAAGAGTACACTCACCCAGAGATTGTTTTAGAATGGTCTGGCAGAGGGAGCCAAGTTTGCAGCAAAGAAATTAGTCTCCTTGGTCATTCAGGGAATTGCAAAATATTGGGAGAGTGAGGATAGAGGCTGGATAGAATCAAAAGCTACATTTAATGTATAGTAAAGGAGGCCTCACAGATCATGGGGAAGGAAAGGATTGTTCAAAAACAGTGCTTGGAGATAGCTAAACTATTGATAATGTGTAGACTTCCAGCTCACAGTAGAAATTTCAAGTGAATTAAAGGAGCTAACTTTTTAAAATCAAAAATATAGAAGGACATATGGATGAATTTTTATCTGATCATGTGGTGCATAAAAGCAGTAAGAATCAAGAAAAGGGAAACTTCTATGACCCTTGATCACTTAAAATTAACCACTTTGTTCTGATACATGCTATACTATGTAATAACCTTGAGGACGTTATGCCAAGTGGAAAAAACCAAATGCAACAGGACAAATACTGTATGACCACTTACATGAAGTACTAAGAACAGGCAGATTCCTAGAGACAGAAAGTAGAAGTTACCAACGGCTGAGAGGAGGAAGGAATGGGGAATTATTGTCTAAGGGGAACAGAATTTCTGTTTGGGGTGATGAAAAATTTCTGGAAATAGTAGTAGAGGTTGTACGACATTGTGAATATAGTTAATAACACTGAATTGTATACTTAAAATGGTTAAAATGGTAAAAATTTATATCTTACCACAGTGAAAAATGTAACCACTTTGGTAATGTTGGAATTTTTATACCATCAACAACTGAAAGTGAATTAGAGAAAAACCAAAAACACATTTTTTTAATACATGAAGAGTTTATGTAAGTCCATTCTTAAAAAACAGAAAATTGCAGTTTAAAAAGGCAGGAGTAGTTAATACACAAAAGAAAATAAAGATGGCCAAAATAACTCATTAAGCTCAGCCTCATTAGTAGAAGAAAGTGAATTTAATATTGTTTTCATTTTTCACATATAAAAATTCAAACTGATGATGGGGGCGCCTGGGTGGCCCAGTTGGTTAAGTGGCTGCCTGCGGCTCAGGTCATGATCCCAGGGTCCTGGGATTGAGTTCTGCATCGGGCTTCCTGCTCAGCAGAGAGCCTGCTTCTCTCTCTCCCTCTGCCTACTTGTGCTTTCTCTCTGTCTCTCTGTCAAATAAATAAATAAAGTCCTTAAAAAAAAAAATTAAAACTGATGAATCGGTCATAGTTCCTCTGACAAGATTAACAGATATTTTTTCTGGAACAGTAAATTAACAACCTAGCTTTTCAGATGTTCCCTTATCTTCTTTTCAGTAATTCTCCTAGAGATTCATCCCAAAAAACAATGAAATGTAGACAGAGAGGAAGCAGATAACTAGTATTACAAACAGCTCAAATACTCAGTGCTAGGGAAGGAATTCCAGAATTACGGTGTATCAGTCCCCACTATCATGTACTCATTTTATATATTTATAGAGTGGTTTTGATGCTAAGTTTAGATACTTAGAGTGCATATAATAAATCAATTGTATATATAATTTGTGCTGTTTTGTAGAAGAGTCACAACATTTGTGCTCTTCACTTTGATGAGCAAACACAGTTAACCATGAGAGACTAAAAAAGAGCAAGACAGCTTTAATTGTGAGACAACTCGCTGAGCACATAATATTTCACCCTGGTGTGAGCAGGAAATGTGAGACGGGCTGCTTTACCCAATCTGTCATTTTGTATAGCATAACCCCCACACTAGGCCACATAACTTTTTCTGGTGCTTAACCAAACACCAGGATCTGTTACAGTGCTGAGGAGCCCCTTGCTGTGCTGGCTTCACTGGAAGACATCATGTCAGTCTTTAGTGTGGTACCGGCTGAAGACATTTTCAAGAAAAATTCTGAGTCATTACAATTTCAAATTGTAGGGTGAGCTTAAGACCTAGTTCTCATATACAAGGTAGCCTTGCTTAATGTATTTAAAAATGGTAACGAAAGGGACAAGAATCAGAAAAAGACAGACATGTATGTCAGATATGAACAGTTGTGAAGGAATTTCCACTTCCCTGTTCTTTTTTTTTCCACTCCAGTAATATTCTTTTATTAATTTTTTAAAATTAACATATATTGTATTATAAGCCCCAGGGGTACAGGTCTGTGAATCCTCCATCAGGCTTACACACTCACCATAGCACATACCCTCCCCAATGTCCATAACCCAACCACCCTTTCCATACCCCCCTCCCCCCTGCAACCCGCAGTTTGTGAGATTGAGAGTCTCTTATGGTTTGTCTCCCTCCTGATCCCATCTTGTTTCATTTTTTCCTTTCCTACTCCCCAAACCCCCCACTTTGCCTCTCAAATTCCTCATATCAGGGAGATCATATGATAATTGTCTTTCTCCGATTGACTTATTTCACTCAGCATAATACCTTCTAGTTCCATCCACGTCATTGTAAATGGCAAGATTTCATTTCTTTAATGGCTGCATAATATTCCATTGTAGATATATACCACATCTTCTTTATCCATTCATCTGTTGATGGACATCTAGGTTCTTTCCATAGTTTGGATATTGTGGACATTGCTGCTATATACATTTGGGTGCGTGTGCCCCTTCAGATCACATTTGTATCTTTAGGTTAAATACCCAGTAGTGTGATTGCTGGGTCATAGGGTAGCTCTATTTTCAACTTTTTGAGAAACCTCCATTTTGTTTTCCAGAGTGGTTGCACCAGTTTGCATTCCCACCAAGAGTGTAGGAGGGTTCCCCTTTCTCCGCATCTTCGCCAGCATCTGTCATTTCCTGACTTGTTAATTTTAGCCTTTCTGACTGGTGTGAGGTAGTATCTCATTGTGGTTTTGATTTGTATTTCTCTGATGCTGAGTGATGTTGAACACCTTTTCATGTGTCTGTTGGCCATCTGGATGTCTTCTTTGCAGAAATGTCTGTTCATGTCTTATGCCCATTTCTTGATTGGATTATTTGTTCTTTGGGTGTTGAGTTTGATAAGTTCTTTATAGATTGTGGACTCTAGCCCTTTATCTATTATGTCGTTTGCAAATGTCTTCTCCCATTCTGTCAGTTGTCTTTTGGTTTCGTGGATTGTTTCCTTTGCTGTGCAAAAGCTTTTGATCTTGATGAAGTCCCAGTAGTTCCATTTTTGTCCTTGCTTTCCTTGCCTTTGGAAATGTTCCTAGGAAGAAGTTGCTGCGACTGAGGCCTAAGGTTGCTGCTTGTGTTCTCCTCAAGGATTTTGATGGATTCCTCTTTCACATTGAGGTCTTTCCCATTTGGAGTCTATTTTTGTATGTGATATAAGGAAATGGTCCAGTTTCATATTTCTGCATGTGGCTGTCTAATTTTCCCAACACCATCTGTTGAAGAGACTGTCTTTTTCCCATTGGACATTCTTTCCTGCTTTGTCAAAGATTAGTTGACCATAGAGTTGAGGGTCTATTTCTGGGCTCTCTGTTCTGTTCCATTGATCTATGTGTCTGTTTTTGTGCCAGTACCATACTGTCTTGATGACAGCTTTGTAATAGAGCTTGGAGTCTGGAATTGTGATGCCACCAACTCTGGCTTTCTTTTTCAACATTCCTCTCGCTATTCGGGGTTTTTTCTGCTTCCATATAAATTTTAGGATTATTTGTTCCATTTCTTTGAAAAAAATGGATGGGATTTTGATAGGGATTGCATTAAATGTGTAGATTGCTTTAGGGAGCATAGACATTTTCACAATATTTATTCTTCCAATCTATGAGTTGGAACATTTTTCCATTTCTTTGTGTTTTCCTCAGTTTCTTTCATGAGTACTTTATAGTTTTCTGAGTACAGATTCTTTGTCTCTTTGTTTAGGTTTATTCCTAGGTATCTTACAGTTTTGGGTGCAATTGTAAATGGGATTGACTCCTTAATTTCTCTTTCTTCTGTCTTGCTGTTGGTATATAGAAATGCAACTGATTTCTGTGCATTGATTTTATATCCTGACACTTTACTGAATTCCTTTACAAGTTCTAGCAGATTTGGAGTGGAGTTTTTTGGGTTTTCCACATAAAGTATCATATCATCTGCAGAGAGTGATAGTTTGATTCCACTCCCTTATTCTTTTCAGAATTTGGCAAATTTGCTTTAGTGAAAATGGATTGCTTTTATAAACAGTTATTTGGGACAACCAAAGCATTTAAAAGAGTTTTCACAATTCTTATGTATTCTTTATAAATAATGTACTTCTGTCTAAAATACAATTTTAGTCGTATTAATCATATTAGTACAAGAATTTTAGCCCCAGGTATTTCCTAGTAATGGCAACTTGCTGTTTATTGAGTGCTACTATGTACCAGGCTTATGCAAAGTATTGGACTCAAAGTATCCCTATAAAATTCATGCACTTTCTTTTCCTTTTAAGGATGGTACTGTTAGTAGTCATCCTTATTGAACATTTACTGTGAGGTACTCTTCTGATCACTACTTGTTCAACTTAATTAATCTGAGGCTAAGAAACTTTCCCAAGATAACCCCATAAATTAGAACCAGGAGTAAGCATGGACATTTTGGCCACAGAGCCCACAGTTCTTCCAGCATGTGGTACGGTTGTGAGGCCCAAGATTGTGAGGCTCCAGATTAGATCTGTATGTACCCAATTCATTATGTAGTATCTCCTGCTTCCAGTTAAAATCCATGGTCCTCTTAGAAATTTTAAAATAGTTTAATATTTATATCTTGGCTATCAGGAATCATCTAAAGGAAAGTGGTATTAGGAATTATATGAAAAATACTCTCGTTGAACCACCAGAAGTAAAATAGAAACTATGCCTACAACTATTTGGGACACCATGGGGACTAACAATGAGCTATTATTACAAATGGTAAAACAAACTGAGAACATTGTTACTTGTTTTTTTTCCTTTGAGAATAGTGATTTATTTACATTAGTTAGAACAGGCTTGGAAGTGAAAAGTCCTTGGTATATGGTATATATGGTATATATATATGGCAATGGCATTATTAAGGGCAGAGATTGGATTATGGCTTTTTTTCAACTTTCCTTCAAACCTACAAATAATAAGGGAATGATGTTGACTAGCTAAACTGTTCATGGTTTTGTGTCAGGGATGCAACACTTAACACTCTCAGCAACTGTAAGTTAGAACAGGGCACCTGGGTGGCTCAGTTGTTAAGTGGTGGCCTTTGGCTCAGGTCATGATCTCAGGGTCCTGGGATTGTCTCTCTCATCCGGCTCCCTGCTCTCCCTCTCCCTCTGTCCCTCCCCCGCCAACTTTGTGTGCGCTCTCTCTCAAATAAATAAATATGACCTTTAAAAGTTAAAACAACAAACTAGGCATGTTTACATTACCAGAGATAACAGAAAAATAGTGCCAAAGTCCATAAGGTATTACCCACAGTATAGCCATCTCTCGGGACCTAAAGCTGTCAAGTGGGGACAGCTGGTTAGACTGTTGTAAAAGTATGGTCCCCATTCCACTTAATTTGATTGCCCATTGCTCTACTGGGCCAGTCACACAGCATTCCTCACTTTGTTTGGCTAAGACTTGGTTTAATTTTGGATTCATAAAAAGGATTTTTACATAATTCTCATAAAACAAGTTTATACTTATTAACTCCTTTTAAATAAAACAGATTGACTTTGGATAAATTTCTCAGCAGAAATATTTACTCTAAAATATAATATTAGAGATGACTCTCCTCCCCAAGAAGTATTTACTTTAGCTAAACATAAACTTGAAAATTTAAAATGTTAAAAAAAAAAAAAAAAGGAAAACCTTGTGTGTGTGTGTTTGTTGAAATAAAACATGTCTCTTAAAGAAAAACATAACAGTTGTAGGAAAGGGAATTCGTGTCAGAATAACATTTGAGGTCTTTGAATCTTTGAACTCTTAAAATGTAAAACAGAAATTACTTGACAAGGTTGTGGCAAAGCTCACATAGTGTGTTTATAATGTATAAGACATCTAAGTTGTGAAGGAGGTATATTAGTTACTTTATAAATTATTTTAAGAGGAATATTTAATATTCCACAAAAAGTTTGAGATTAACTTTGGCAAAATTCAGTTTTCCCATCTAATTTAAATCCATGTTATTTCTGTGCTTACTGCTTAGAACCCACATTTGTGTTTGCATTCTTAAAGTCAACACCCCTTATGTTAAAACCTATGTTTTCATTGTTACAGGTACAATGAGTACATTCTGAGTCTCAGGACGGTGGGAATTAGCCAACGGACTGCAGACATGCTGTGGAAGCTGCTGCTAAGATCCCAGCCCTGCAGGCTGTGTTCTTTCAGAAAGATGCCATTGGCTTCAAAATCCAGACCCCCTTTAGCATGCTTCGTCTATACAACTGATCATCAATCAAACCAAGAAAATAAAAGAACAGTGGAAAAGCTCTATAAATTTTCAGTGGACGTCAGGAAAATTCGCAGATCAAAAGGATGGGTACTTTTTGAGAAGGAAACCTATGTTGAAGAAACTGCAGACGTTTTACAACAACTAGGTGCCAATGAAGCTGCTATAGCCGGTATTTTGGAGCGCTGCCCAGAAGCAATTGTCTGCAGTCCAGCCGCTTTTAACACCCAGAGAGCACTCTGGCAGTTGGTTTGCAAAAACGAGCAAGAGTTAGTCAAGTTAATAGAACAGTTTCCAGAATCTTTCTTTACCGTTAAAGACCAGGAAACCCAGAGGCTGAACATTCAGTTCTTTCAAGAGTTGGGACTCAAAAATGTGGTCATTAGCAGATTTTTGACAACTGCATCTAATGTTTTTCATAATCCTATTGAGAAAAATAAGCAAATGATAAGTATTCTCCAGGAGAGTTATCTAAATTTAGGTGGCTCTGAGGCCAACATGAAAGTTTGGTTACTCAAATTGTTAAGCCAGAATCCATTTATTTTGCTAAATTCTTCTGCAGCTATCAAGGAAACATTAGAATTTCTCCAGGAGCAAGGTTTTGCCAACTCTGAAGTTCTCCAGCTTCTATCCAAACTCAAAGGATTTCTTTTTCAACTTTGCCCAGGAAGTATACAGAACAGCATGTCCTTCTCTAAAAATACTTTTAAATGCACAGATCATGACCTGAAGCAATTAGTTTTGAAATGTCCTGCCATTTTATATTATTCCGTTCCAGTTTTGGAAGAGAGAATTCAGGGATTACTGGAAGAAGGCATTTCCATAGGTCAGATAAAAGAGACACCAATGGTACTTGAATTAACTCCACAGATAGTACAGTACAGGATAAGGAAACTGAATTCTCTAGGCTATAGGATAAAGGATGGACATCTAGGAAATCTAAATGGAACAAAAAAAGAGTTTGAGGCTAACTTTGGCAAGATTCAGGCCAAGAAAGGAAGGCCATTATTTAACCCTGTGGCACCATTAAATGTTGAAGAGTAACTTGCCGACTGCTGTTGCTTTCCAGCATTGCAGAGCGAAGGCAAAGTAGCAAAGACTTAAGTGATTCAGGCAGTTTATAGGCACTAGTAATTTGAAGAAACCACTTAGCTTCTGAGTTGTGTCTAAGTTACCTTTAAGTATATCATCTCTGACGTATTTTTTATATTTTAAACTATAAGCTGCATTTATTTTAAATAAAGTTGGTAATCTTTACCTTGAACTATTTCGAAAAACTCCTGTACTAGTAAATGGCCCATCAGAGTGATAACTTTTTAAGTGAATCATTTCTAAGAAATTGCCAAGTGTACTCCCTTAATTCAAAGTATGGATATGTTTTTATTTATTTTTTATTTATTTTATTTATTTATTTTATTTATTTTTTATTTATATAGCACATTTCATCTGGGACACAGACCCTCTTCTTCCTCTCCACCGGCTCTGAAACATCATTTTACTGTGGTCTGAAACCTGTAGCTTACAATTAGTAAACTTCTAATACATTTTTTTTTAGATAAAGCTGATTTCATCTCTTGGTTGGGATAAATGCGTGTCTTTGAGAATGAAGTATTTCTCATTCGAAAAGAAGAGAACTTACTTGTGTGTTTAGTTTAAAATGGACCATCTCCTCTCATAGAACTTTTATGCGCATCATTACTTTCCCCATTTTATAGATGAGGAAACGAGCTTAGAGAGGCCTGCCAAGTGATAGGGTCCAGATTTACTGTGATCTGACTTCTGTTCAAACCTGTGACTAGAAAAAGGATTGCTTAGGAGTTGGCATTACGAAAAGCCATATCCTGGTGCGCCCGAGGCGCACAGTAGGTTGGGTCCATTCAGCTCAGGTCCTGATATGGCTCCAGGCTCAACAGGGAGTCTGCTTGGATATATTCTCCCTCTGCCCTGTCCCCCTCTTGCGCTCTCTTTCTCAAATAAATGTCTTTTTAAAAGAAAAGAAAAACCATACCCTTACCTGATATGACAAAGGAGGACCAACAACAAACGGGAATTTTTTGTGAAATTCCTTAAATATGAAGTGATCTAATTTATATACATTTGAACTAAGCAGCTTTTTTAGAAAACTGAAAATCCAGGTCTGGCTCTTGAAAGGGAAAATGTGTGATGGTTGGTACCGGTTTTAATAGCATTCCAAATTTCTGTTTCTAAGTCTTGTTCCAACATAAACATTATCCAGATAAAGACTGGCTCACCTCCAGCTGCGGATTTTGAATTTTTAACACCACCACCAAACAGTTGACTCTTAACACTCCCACCATCTGTGTCCTATGTGTGCATGGCCTTTTTTTAAGTAATGAAAACCCAATTAAAAATACACGCCATGTCTTTATTCACTTAGCAAATGCCAAGTAACCCTCAGTGTTCAAATCTGTTTGGTTCCTTGGGGTAGTGAACAAGTCTCATGTAGCACCTACTAAATGCCGGGCATGTTGTGCTTTAGAATGCTTAGAGCTGAGAACCACCATTTACTGTTCTACAAATGAGGAGATGCAGGCACAGACAGGGTGTCACTTACCCAAAGTTAAACAGGAATGTTTGTTCAAGAAAAAGAATGGCAGCAACAGTTGGGGCAGGAGGAGTGTCCCCTGTCCATCTAAGGAATGGGATCGCATTCTAAGTGTGATGGGAAACCTTCGGAAAGAGTTTAGTTTGCTTGTTGTCCTGACCTAATTATCAGTGGTGTGCTTATCTTCCACTCTCAGAAGTGTCCTAGTTTGGAACATTTATATGGTTACCTTAGTTTTCTTTTCTTTTATATTGAGATGCCTACTAGCTGAGCAGAGATGTCAAACGGGCAAATGGCAAAGTCTGGAACTGTGAGGTCAGAACTAGAGATACTCAGGGATCATCTACGTATCTATGATGGTATTTAAAGCTAAGACTCTAAATGAGATTTCCCAGAAATAAATTACGGATTTGTAGTAGTGACTGGCCATGCCTGGAAGGAGTTGACCAAAAGAGGTCTGCCGAGGAAAGAGGGCATGGCCAATAATATTGAATGCCATAGAGCGGTCAACTAAGATACACATAAGTGACCAATGGATTTGGCCAAAAAGAAATCACTGGTTGGCCCTATCAGTAGTGACTGGTGCAATGAGAAAGGTAAGAAGGCACCTGGAGGGGGGTGGTGAGAACAGGAGATGACTGAGGCAGAGACTACAAAGTTTTTCAAAAATGCTGCAAAGGGAAGCAGGAAAATGGAGGTTGTATGATTAGGCATACTTTTTTTTTAAACAAAGTAGGGCACCTGGTTGGCTCAGTGGGTTAAGTCTCTGCCTTGGGCTCCGGTCATGATCTCGGTCATGATCTCGGGGTCCTGGGATCAAGCCTTGCATCGGGCTCTGCTCAGCGGGGAGCCTGCTTCTACCTCTCTCTCTGCCTGCCTCTGCCTACTTGTGATTTCTCTGTGTGTCAAATAAATAAATAAAATCTTAAAAAAAAAGAAAATGCCAGAAGATGTTTATATGCTCATGGATATGACCCAGGAGAGAGAGAGATGGAAAAACTGCAGGATGACATTCCTGCAGGAAGTGAAAGCGGGACTGACTTAGGATCAGAACAGGGATTGTAGTCCTGGGGACGGATGCGGGCACGTGATGGAATAAGTGGTGTGAGAGGAGAGTTGCTGTCAGGTTGCCTCTTTTGACAAAGGGCAGTAGAATGGGAGGGAGTACTCAGGAGGGCTGGAAAGAAAAGGAATGAAATGGTTGTTTTGAGGAGTAAGAAAACGAACATAACGAGGGTATATAAGAAAGTATGGCAGGGTTCAGTGGCCATTAATTTGTAAAAAGCCTAGAGTCAGTACATCAGCAAACTTGTGCTCAGGTCCAGGCGTGGAAAACCAGAGGCATTTATGGTTATAGAAATACATTTGTAGCTTACTCTCACCTGACAAGATTAAATTTTTAGAAAATAAACACATTCATGACCAAACATGTAACCTACTGACTTTATTTTTCCTTAGACCAAATCCTGTTCCATTAGTTTTTAGCCCTTGAACCTTTCTTTTTCCCTAATTTGAAACTTCAAAGTCAACAATATAGCAAGGAGAGACATCCTTAACATAAAACACTAGAGTCAAATTTTATGTCCTCTGTGAAGAAAAGGCTCTAATAACAAAATTATTTCCCTTCAACAGTTCATAATTACACTAAATTCATTTCAATGACAAGCGTAATGAGCTGACTAAGTGGGATTACCTGTAAGACTCCGGAGAGCTCTGGTGAGCCTCGTAAATGAAGCACACAGTCAGCACTGGCCGCCAACAGCAGAATGAAGTGCTAGTTACTGAGTAGCCCCATTTCTGTTTCTGGGTATTAACTGCAGAAGGGATTGACTTGAATTCAAAAGTGATCGTGGGAAAATTGCTAACACTGAAAGCCTGTTTCGTATTTGTAAAAAGAGATACTTCTGCGGTACTGATTAAATCAGATAATGTATGGACAGCACCTGGCAGGTGAGTAGACACCTAGTATGTATCAATTTTCTACGTTCCTCCAGCTGGTTCCCATCTCTCTGAATCACTTCTGTCCAGTGAGGGGTGCAAGTTGGTTCCATAGTTACTTAGGACAGAGTAAAATGCTCCCTACTTCTACATCAGATCCCAAATTGTTAACAAGAATCCGCTGTGGAGGATACTGAACTACAGGCCTGGGCCCCACCTGCAGAGATTCAGAAAGTTGGGATAAAACCTAAAAATCTGCATTTTTAATCTTCATCAGAGTGGACTAAAATGTATTTGCATTTCACTGTCTTGGTATCAAAATACATATTCAAAGATGTTTTGTCATGTTTGTGCATTAGTATCAAAAAAACTGACTACAGTACTTTCTGAACTATGTAACTAAAAATTTTAATACTGTCCTGTTTTTCCTTTAAATTTCCTTTATTTCCTTAGATCTTTATGAAACATTTCATCTTTTGCAGATCATAGTGTTTATTGACAGATTTATGTATTCTTTTCCCATTCCTTTATACAAAAATTTTATTCAATCACCAATCATCTTCATCTGACATTTCACTAAGTACAGGATTCATAATGCAACATTATTAGATCAGGCATTCAAGTGGGTCACACAAGTTCATCCTCATTGTGCCAAATACCCACTCAAAAGATACACCGAATAACAGATGCCTCCAAGTGTATGTATCAACCTTAGGTTCTTGAAGTGAACCAGTACCGTTTCACAGGTCAAACTGCCCGTCTATGCAAGTACACTGGGGAAGACTCAAGTGTACAACTGTATGTGTCATCGAATGGCAAGTTCACTGCAACAAGAACCTCTGTAACTTAATCGTGCCTTTGTACACTTCTCTGCCATCCTTGCAAAAGCCTCTCCTGAATAAAGTTATAGTTCAGAGCTAAAATGTACCAGGAGGCTTTTCTGTGGCAGAAATCACAACCATTTTTCCTCAAGCAATTTTAAAGACAAGGTTGAAAATAAATATGCAAGCACACAGTATACTAAAGTCTGTGTTTAGAAATTCAGGTACAAAGCACAGCAGAACCTATGACTATAGAAGATAAATTAGAAATATAAACTAGCAATGAAGCAATCATTTCTTTCAAATAGCAGGAAACAAGTTCTCCAATACCATTATTTAGATCACTGTTTAGTGTTCATCAATTAACTCTGGAGTCACTTTTAAAAATCCCTTTTGCTGATTATGACGTTTGACCAGATACACCACCCAAAAGGTATTTTAAATACCTTAAGTCATAGAGCATGAAATTAACGACCATTTACGATGAACTCAACTTTTCAGTTCTGTATAAAATGGTAGGTTCAAGAACCTTCACAGGTTTGCTTAAGATCCCTCCTGGTGTTTATGAAAGCTTTTAAAAGTTATGTTCTTATCCATTTGTTGTTCCACATTATTAATGTAAAGCTCTTAGTGGTTCAGAAAGACATTTAAGCCTTGGATGCTAGAGTGATCTGTTTTACCTTCTCAAGGATGTACTCTGACTGACTTACTCCAGAGCATCACCTCCTTTGCTACACAAACACACACTTCTGCAAAATGGAGGCAAATTTCCAGACTTAAGTATAAAGAAAACTAAGATTTTTCAGACTTGGATTATAACCCTCAGTTAAGAGGAATACCAAATATGTGTGCCACTTTAAAAAATTTTTCATGAAACGGAATATGTAAAAAATGATGAATTCCAGCTAAGTCATATTCCTTGAGAATGAATGAGACATGAGACATGTTAAGAAGACATGACGCACTTTATCATCCACAATCAAAAACTTCAATTCCCTGCCTGAAGTTGACTTGGAAATGGTACAAAGTCTATGACTTCTTTAAGGATTGATTGTAAGATAACGTTTTAAAAGCCTGTAAACCACTGACAGCACTTGTATACATATCTTACATTCAAAACTAATCTGTGGAGCCCATTTCATTCAATTTCAAAGTTAGCTCCCCCATATTTGTGGCTGCTTTTACTGTGTTTTTAAAAAAGGGGTACTGCTAACATTTTAAGCCATCCTAAAGATAAAACTGATGAAGATTTTTTTATATGTGGGATGCTTTAGGTGATTCTTAAGAATTTAAAATTATCTGTTCCTCCCTAATGTGAAACTTCCAAGAGAGCTTATGACCAGCAAAGAAAGATTCCTTAGGCACTGTGAGGTGTATTAAAGATGGAGCATGAAACCAGACTGAAATGTATCGTTCGGCTGGTAACTACACTGACAGTTAACAAAACGCCTAGAAGCACTACCTTAGCTGCTGAGAGCAAGAAATGCCTTTAACCCACCACTCCTGAGATTCTTAAGAGGGAAAGCTAATTTCACAATTTTTAAAAGAATCCATAGATAGTTCTAAGAACTGCACATGGTTAGGGTATTAAAAAGATGTTTCATAAGGCATCAATGATTAAATTAATGTAATGCATATCTAACAAAAGATGGTGAACACTCAGTATCATAAAACCATTTACCTCTTCTTTTAAATTTCTCTAATTCCTGCTACTTTTACCAGCTTAAATAAGAAAAGAATGCCTCTTGGCCTAACCAACTATGGTTATAAAAAAAAACTAAGACATCTGAAACTATTAGGCACATCAAAGGTACAGTTTATGTAGTTCAAGGTTCCCTTCTTAAGGGGCAAATGAGTTACCTGGCACATTATACATATGGAACTATAAAGATCATCAACTAAATTCAACTTTCACATTTTTTAGTTAAACTGAAAGACTTATAGTAAATATCAAATATACCATATCTTCAGTTACAACTGAGTAAGAGTAACATTTTACCAGATAAAAAGCTGGAATTTAAGTATGAGAAACCTTCATACACTGTGCTAGTATTGGTCTCTTCTTTTTAGACAAAAGCCAGTCATCAATACTTTCAACACAGCAGTTTAGAAGATAAACGTCCAAACAGGTGACTTCGTTGTAGTCCATAATTTAGCAATTCAATGCCACTGGCATCATAATGCTGTGGAGAGCAAGTGTATCTCCATATTTTAGTCAGATTTGTCTTTCTTCTTTCCTGTTAAGGGCACTTTGTTTACAACAGCAGACCCAACAGCTGTAACACCTCCAGCCACAGCAGACACGCCCCCTTTCACCAGCCCTATTCCCATGGAAGGCACAGTTGTAACAGCTGTTTTGGTCACCTCCAGACTCTTCCCACCAATCCAAGCCACACCACCAATGGTGGCACCAACAGCCCCCTTTGTAACACTGAAGATACCGCCAGTCACACGGGACAACATGCCTGGTTGCTGCTGTGGGTGATCTTTCATTGAACCTGGTAAGAAAAAACATGAAGACAGCCAATTGTAAGTCTTCACAAGAGCAGTTCAAATCATTAAGTGTCCTAAGATTTCCTAACAATCAGGAGGTTGTTTTGATAAGACGAACCACATAAATCCAAACCTGATCAAGACACTAAAAACCTCTTCCCTCAAAACTATAGTTGTACATGGTTTTAAAACATCTTGGTCCGGGGCGCCTGGGTGGCTCAGTGGGTTAAGCCTCTGCCTTCGGCTCAGGTCATGGTCTCAGGGTCCTGGGATCGAGCTCCACATCGGGCTCTCTGCTCAGCGGAGAGCCTGCTTCCCTTCCTCTCTCTCTCTGCCTGCCTCTCTGCCTACTTGTGATCTCTGTCTGTCAAATAACTAAATAAAATCTTAAAAAAAAAAAAAAAAAATCTTGGTCCAATGCTAAGTCTTAGTATCTATGAGAAAAATTGCTTTTGGGACTAGATAACTTTCATCAAATAGAATCTAAACTTAAATGTTTCCTTGATTTATAGTTTTGTTGCTGTTAATAAAAATCTTTATATCCCAAAAGGACATGAAAAAATAGGAAGACAAATATATTTAGCCGTCGTTTCCTTGACAGAATTCAATCATCTCTGAAACAACCTTCTTCATTTAAAGCAGTGGTTCTCAAGATATGGCCTGGGACCCCTGGGTATCCACAAGACTATTTCAGGGGTTCTGCAGGATAAAAATGATTTTCATAATAATACTAACACAGGATTTATCTTTTCATTTTCATTCTTTCACATTCATTCACAAGTCTACAGAATTTTCCAGAATCTAAATGATGTGCAGACTAACACAAAAGATGAAACACAGAGCAGCTGTGAGAAACTAGCTCTTTTATTAACCCTAACATTAATGAGATCGCAAAAATTTAAAAACAAGGTCACCCAACCTGTTCAATTTTTTTTTTTTTTTTTTGCTTTGGAAAATAGCTGCATTTCAAAAACTATGTTAATCACGTTAATATGTAATTGGTCTACTAGGGTTTTTCATAAAATATTTCTCAGTTTTTATTATTTATATGGCAAATATCAATGAAGACACAAGCTTTTAGGGGTCCTCAATTTTTAAAAGTGGAAAAGCCAAAAAGTTTAAGAAACACTAATTTAAATATATGTGGGTGTCTGCTCTATTTGCATTTTAATAATGTATTTAAAGAGCTAATGCTATGTAAAAATAGAATAATTACTTATATCTTAAAATCATGTTACTTACCTAAAATCATTTTTTACAGTGTTGAGAAACTACAGCTATACTTAATACTTTCACCACACCAGTAATTCTTACAGGAGAGAGCATGTCATTTAAATATCTAGTCTGTAAAAACTCCTTTACTCCAGAAAAGGTAATATCAATATGAAAAATTCAGATTTATTTAAGTCATTATTTTGTTCTCTGGTTTGTTTCATTTTGAATAGTAATTCAAATAGGCACGTGTATCAAACTTAGGCATAAAATAACAGGAAGATTTCATAAATATTTGCTTGTTATCAACCTCAAACAAACACAGGTCTTTTCTCCTTTGTAATCTAATGATTTAGGCAGCAACAACACATAAGCAATGGTGTTTATATTTTTCTAAACTTTGTGGAAAAATACTTGGTCATGAAACAGTTCAGACTTTTTTTTAATTTTTATTTTTTAAAGATTTTATTTATTTATTTGAGAGAGAGACAGTGAGAGAGCAGAAGACCAGAGGGAGAAGCAAACTCCCCATGGAGCTGCGAGCCTGATGTGGGACTCGATCCTGGGACTCCAGGATCATGACCTGAGTGGAAGGCAGTTGCTTAACCAACTGAGCCACTAGGCACCCAACAGTTCAGACTTTAATCACAGAAAAGGTACAACTCACACAAAGAAAAGTAAATTCTTGGGTACATAGGCACAACTAGGACTACCAAAGCTACTAACTTCAAGCAGAATATATCAGAGAAGACAACAATAAGAAACTGGTAATATTTGATGGGAGAAAAAAATTCTAAAAATCGAGCTTTTCTAACACAGCACAAATTTACCTTGATTTTCCTTCCATTGTTTAGAGGTTTTACAAGTATGAAAAGATCAATGGCTCATCAAAATAGCTCAGATATAGCAATGGCTAAATTTATAAAAACCAAATTCTTAATTGAAGCTATTTGAGTAATAAGCATAGTTAATATAAATTTTTAACTAGGGGTGCCTGGGTGACTCAGTTGGTTAAGCAACTGCCTTTGGTTCATGTGATGATCCCATGGTCCTAGGATTGAACCCCACATCAGACTCTCTGCTTAGCAGGGAGTCTGCTTCTCCCTCTGCGCCCACCCACCCCTACATGCTTGAGCGCGCACAGGCACTCTCTCTGAAATAAAATTATTTGTTTAAATAAAATTAAAGAGCTGAAATAAAAGACAGGATATGGAAAAGTATCTGAGTATGTTAATTATAAAATTATAATGAAAAGGCATCATTGGTAATTCTTTTGTAATCAAGGTCACTAACACCAGGAAAAGGAAAAAATCCTGATTTGAGAATAGAACAGATAACTTCTTCATGCTGAATACCTTCATTAGTATTACCTTGCTATGCCAAATTTGGTGCACATGCATTTAATGAAGATGATTTTTCTTAGTCAAAGTAGATAAATATTAATGCTGTTGACACTCTTTAATTAGTGTGCTCTTAATTACCACCATATAAATTATCTGCTCTGCAGACTACTCTGGTTTAGCAGGTTACCATACAAAGACATTACCAAAGCTTTCTCTTCCTTGACAAGCATGCTCCTGAGCTGTCTTTCTCTCTTTCCTGACTTTATCCCTACAAAGTCCTTACTGACTTTCTCATTAAGCCCTAACTTTTCAACACGCTAGAGTTCTAGACCTAAAAAATAAGTCAAGAAAACAGCTGAACTAATAATTTTCCAGGATATTCTTCCACCAAACTAAAATTAATCACCTAGTTACCACCATCTTCTTTTAGGATTAAGTACAAACTTTTCATTGTGTTTTCCTAACAATTTCATTTTTGTCTACCAGCTTGGACAGTGGGTAACTGAGAAGAAAATAAAATACCCAATCACAACTTCCAGCTCTTCCCTCTTCCCAGAGATACTAGTATGCCTGCAACTCCAGTACGGTCTGCTGGCCATTTCATCCCTTAGTCTTCACTTTGATTTTCTATCTGACCGATTAGGACTGTCCTGTACAAACATGCAGTTGGTGGAGGAAATTACAATTTGGTTTAGGTTGAAAAATGTTCTACACCAAAACCATAAACAGAAAATGCCTGCGGTCATTTTCTGTATATAGCCAAGACAGTCACATATGCAGTTAGCATTTCCAATGATTTTTGAAGTCTAAGTAAGAAGAGGACTCGTGATGTCACAATTTTCAAACTAAAAGAGAATTTAAATTAAGCAGACCCTAAGACCATGTATTACTATAGGAAGAAGAACTACCAATGATAAATAACAGCTTAATAACAAATTTCAAGTGGCTCTTGAGTTGAGTTTTTGTATGCATTACGTGAAAAATTAAACATGGTCCATCCTTCCTCTGCACCCCATACCCATTCTTTTTTTTTTTTTTAAAGATTTTATTTATTTATTTGACAGACAAAGATCACAAGTAGGCAGAGAGGCAGACAGAGAGAGGAGGAAGCAGGCTCCCTGCTGAGCAGAGAGCCCAATGTGGGGCTCGATCCCAGGACCTCAGGATCATGACCTGAGCCGAAGGCAGAGTCTTTAACCCACTTTAACCCAGGCGCCCCCCCATACCCATTCTTTACAAATGAAAGAATACTCTAACTTGTGAAATGGTCTTAATAAAAGAGTAGCAAAAGAACAGATCTTATATAATAAAACTGTTGCACGGTGTCCCCATTCAGCAATATATGTGCTTTCATCTTACAAGCTCAAAGTGTTTATCTTCAATTACTTTTGGAACATCTTTACTGACAAGATAAACAGACTGTTACTTTAAATTTAATAAAAACAATCAGAATTTTAATTTAGTAGGACCTTTGTTTTCATTCTTAGTATGTCAGATGCATACTTACCTTCTGGTGGTTCATCACTAAGGTATGATGGGAGTTCTTGATTTTTATCTGCCTGATTCATGATCTCCTAAAAAACATATACACATTTCATTGTAACGTCAACCTGTGAGATGACCACTTAGCAAATGCTAAGACTTAGCAATCAACTTAGTTGATTAAGACTTAATCAACTTTATTCAGATAAACATTTTAAAACACTTGTCACAAAACTACATCTTATTTTTCTCCTAGTTTGTGGTATTTAAGAAATACTTTTACTTATAATAGTAGACAATATAAATCTTATCTCAAACACCAACCAAAGAGTAACAAGCATAGTACAAGCTTTCCTATGTTGTTACTACTGCTTACTAATTGAAAGAAAGTTGGAAAGTCAGGGCTGGTAGACAAAAATCTTAAGTGCTTCCTCCTACAGAGTATTGGTTAACTTAACTGTAATTTATTTTACAACAGACTTAGAGAAAACCTGTATTATGACTAAAAAACATGTTTTATCTGAAAATTTTCTAAAAATCATGATGTCCTTCTATAAAGATAACATCATCAATCTGAATCATTAAGAGATGGATTCTGATTACTTTTTATTGTTTTTAGAACTCTTACAAACACAGGTAGCAAAAGAACTCAAAATGTATGAAAAAATACATATGTGATTACCTCCTTAGTACAAGTAGTAAAGGAACCTAAGAAATGAAATAAGCTACACTGGGATGAAAAAAACATAAACTTTCTTTTCCCAATTCCCTTTACTGTCTTGAAATATTTGTTTTTATATTCACTTGACTAAGAAAAGATTAAAACAAGATTGGAATACTAGTAGTCCAATACTACAAGTATTAGAATCCTACTTAACAAATTTAAAACAAAATATGCAGAAATCCCGGACCGAATATGCATGTCCCTTCCTAATGAAAAACTCCCGTGGAGCCACGTTCTTCCCTACTGAACTGTTAATTCCAAAAGAAGATACTGTTTAGCTTGTTCCCTGCTATGTTCCCAGGGTCTGTATACCGTACACATACAAATCCAGATCATCTAGCTGATCAACCAATCAACAGATGCTACTATGTCATGTACAGAAATATAGAGAAATTATATACACACATACATCTTACATATGTTAACTGGACTTTAAAAACAGGTGTGATGGGGGGGGCTTGCTGGCTCAGTCTGTAGAGCATGTGACTCTTGACCGCAGGGTCATGAGTTCAAGCCCCACACTGGTCATAAGGCTTATTTAAAAAACAGGTGTGACAGCAATTGCCTACATTTCAAAAGTGCCTTTCTGTATATATCCCACAAATCCCAACTAAAAGACTTACCTTTTCCTAATTCAGAATCCCTTTAAAAGGTTAATTTTGCCACATATATCTTGTAATTTAAAAGACCACCATTTTATTTATTTTTTAAAGATTTTATTTATTTATTTGTCAGAAAGAGAGAGAGAGAAAGCATACAAGCAGGCAGAGAGGCAGGCAGAGGTGGAGAGAGAGGCAGGCTCCCCACTGAGCAAGGAGCCCGATTCAGGACTCGATCCCAGGACCCTGGGATCATGACCTGAGCCAAAGGCAGCGGCTTAACCCACTGAGCCACCCAGGCATCCCAAAGACCACCATTTTAAAAGATGGGTGCTGCTTCATAAAAGACATATGCAAATTCATTTATATAATATGAATTGACTTTATCCTTCTATGGGTAGGCAAAGGAGGGCCATGACAGTAACACTGTCTGAGCTGCGCTTTAAGAAGCTAACAGAAGCAAGAACAGATGAGGAAGGCGGGGTGCCTGCGTCGCTCAGTTGGTTAAGTGGCTAACTCTTGATTTCCGCTCAGGTCATGGTCTTGGGGGGCATGGGATCGAGCCCCGTGTCTGGCTCTGCGCTCAGTGCATCTGCTTGAGATCTTCTCTCTTCCTCCGTTCCCTCCTCCCTGCCACCCACCTCATGCTTGCTCTCCTTCTAAAATAAATTAAAATAAATAAATAAATAAAAAGAACAGATGAAGGACAGAGAGATTAAACACAGTAAGTGGCTACTTTAGAAGTTCAGTGAGATACAGTAATAGTTTAAGCCCTGCCAGTTTTTCCTGTATAAATAAATGGGCAAAAATCTAGGAGTCACCCTTGATTTCCCATTTTTTTTTTTTTTACATTCCTATCTAATCATCGGTAAATTCTGCTGCCTAAATAAATACAGAATACAACCACTTCTCATCACCTCTACTGCTACCACTTTCAATTAAACTATCATTTCTCTTACTTGGGCTGCTACAAAGTCTCTTAACTGGCCTCTGAGCCTCCACCTTTGCTCTTCCTCGGGTCTAGCCATGTCACACTCTGCTTAAACCCCTACAACTGCTTCCTGTTTTGTTCAGAATAAAATCCAGAGTTGAGGCCTGACATCTAACACTCTGATGTTAACATTCTGCCTCTCTCTCATACCAGTCTACCAACCCGGGTTTCCCTGCTCACCCTTCTCCTGAAAGGCTCTTCCCCAAGTGTTCATGGCTTGCTTCCTTACTTCCCTTCAGATCTTTATGTGAACGTCCCCTAACAGAGATCTTCCCAGATCACTAGATTTGCACCCTCCTACTCCCTTCCCTATCATTTTCACCTAACCCGGATCAATTTTCTTCAGTGCTCATACTTTCACTTTATATATAAAATATTTATATATAAAATATTTATATATAAACACATAGGTTTACTTTGTGTCTCCTATAATTAGAATGTAAGCTCCATGAGAAAAAGGCTTGGTTTTGCTGCATCCCCAGAGCCTTTTTCAATGCCAGATGCATGGCAGACAAATAACTGAATTTTTGTATGAAGGAGAACAGAGCCTGGATATTAATATGAGAAAAAAGGAAAATGCAGGATGGAAAATTTCTAGTGTGAGCATAAAGACAAGGGACAGCGGACAAGAAACCACTTCTGAGAAAAGATGAACGACTTTTTAAAATTTTTATTTTATTGTGCTAAGAATACTTAACATGAGATCTACCCTCTAAAATAGAAGTGTACATTACTGTTGACTACACATATGATGAAAGGACCTTTTTTTGAACAGCTGGATTTCAAATGCCTTTGGGGCATCTACATGACATGTTTAGGGGGCAACTGGATTTAAGGAGTCTGAAACTCAGCTTGAAGTCTGAGTTAGAGTTGAGGCCCTGTAAGTGGTATGAAGTGATAGTGACAAATGTGGGGGATGGGTGATACATGATCAAGGAAAAGAATGAAGGAGAAATAGACTGATAACCTTAACTGGACCGCTCATATTTAAGAGCTGAGTGAAAGAGAAGCCAGCAAAAGCAAACAAAATACAAAATACATCTGAAAAATGTACAAATGTACAAATGACTACAGCCTCAGAGAAGGCAAGAGATGAATTTATAAGCTTCCTAGAGACACACAATGCAGACATTAAGATAATTTATGAAGACCAAATACTATGGGGAAATGCTAATGTTATATTCAGAGAATATAAAAGGCATATATTATATAACCCAATTTTTTTTAATGCATATGAAAAGACTTTAAAAACGAAATATAACAAAATGTTGACAAAGACTGCCACTAGGAGGTAGAAATATATAGCAAGAGAAGAGACAGAGAGAGAGCACGCTACAGAGAGAAAGAAATCTCTTATTTATGTAAATCTATATGTAGTTATATATGTAAATCTATATATATATTTATATATAATACATATACAAATATGTATTTAACATCTATATTTTAAGTTTCTACCATAAACATGTATTGCTTTCATACCTAAAGAAAATTATATATTTTTAAGCCTTAGAAATCAGTGATATTCATTAAAGGGTATTTCCAAAGATTTAGCAGTTCATCTACCTAGTTCTTATCCTAGTTTTTTAGGTTTTTATCCTCAAATCAAGGTTATCTGAAAAAAAAAAAAAAAAAAAAAAAACTTAAATCACAAAATGCTGATTTGAAGAAAAGGACATTGGGTTTAATTCTCAGTTATGTCCTTGGTAAGAAAACCCTGACAAAGAGCCTTATGCAAGCTATTTAGTACACTGTATTGCACTGTAAAGAAATTATCTACTGCATCACTTGATAGCTCTGAAAGGAAGCTCCACATAAGAAGTTTCTTTAACAGTATTCAGAAAAACTTTTGTTTCCGCAACAGATTCAGAACGCTTTCTTCTCTTTGAGAGCTATGCACTTTCCTGTTTAAAAGAAAGATGTGATATCTTCCCTTTCCCTTTGGCTTCCAGGAAGCTTACAGGTAAAATCATAACTTACCTGGGCAGGTTCCTGAAGCCTTCCTAGTTGTCCAATTTTCCCCCAACTCCATATCTCAAGATCCCCGCTCTCACTGCTATTCTCCCTGGTTGGTTTGCAATCTGAGTATCTTATTTACAATCTTATCATTTTGTTAGAATATGTTTTTGTTGTAAGCTGACACAGAGTATTTGTGGAATAAGTGGGATAAAATTATCATCTGTATCTACGTTAATTTTAAGCAACACAAGGAAAGATACATACCAATACATGGTCCAAATTTTTGGTTTAAAATAAAAAAGAATACTTTAAGCTAGAATTGTGCTTTCCAAATGTTTTTAAAAGAAAGCAGTAGCACACCAGAGGCTTCAAGAACCGCAGGAGAGAAGATGATGCATGCATTTTACTACACAGTAATTTAAAATACTTTTTGTGTTTAAATATACACTAATTAAAAAGATAACTGAAAAGTGCTTGGGAGTTTTTTAGAATAACCAGACTCTCAAGAAATTTCCTTATTGCTTGGAATTTCTTCAGGATATACTCTCAGATTTACCACCTCTCTCTTCCCAGCCCACAACACTCCCACCCCCATTCCCCACAAATTTATTCTGCTCTTAAGTTAGATGTACTTTTGGCAGAAGAGTTTGAAATGTAGGAATCTAGATACTATTATACAGAAATATCCACAGACACATTTAATATTGTTAGTGATAGTTGCCAAAAGGATTATCAATAAGCAGAAAAAAAAGAAAATGTGGAGTCCTGCCAGGCTAGAAGCAGAGCTACCAAGAACAGAGGAACTTGCTATTAGAGGGCTCTGAAGTTCTAAGAGGCCACAGGGATTGATTTTTGTTTTGATGATATATTTTCTAATGTCTGAGTTTCTTGTACCTCACTGGTGTTTACAGCAAGTATGAAGTATTAAAATTCCTCCAGAACTCACAGTGTTAATAAAAATTTTGTAAAAGTGCAAGTATTTGGAATATTGTTGTTTTCTAAATTCCCAGTTTGATCATAAGGCATCAAATACCTTGTAGAAAGTATTTTTGCTAAAATTCTTAACTATCTGTAAAGCCACCTGCACTTTTTACTCAGATAAATCACTCCCAGCCCCTTCACGGATATATGTGCCGAACTTTGAGTGATATTACCTCTTTACAGGTACTACCACTTTATCACTAAGGAGAAATTATTTTTTATATTACCACCTTGTACATTATCATCACTACAGCGGTCTTATTTCTTTTAAATTGTGAATTCTGAAAACAAACACACTTCTAATCTCTTAAAACTGGGAAAGATAAATAATCTGCTTGTAAAATTTAGAAGTATACACATGGAGACAAGTAACAATGGCAGGAAAAGTGTCAAAATGACCGTTTAAATGTTACCCTTAAACAAAATTATTTCATTCTATGCAAACCATTTGCCCTAAACTCACTGAATTATTAGTTCTATATATAGGTGGGTCCCTACTGTGTGCCAGCCACCCTGTCAGGCTCTGAAATTTCAGCGTGATTCAGCACACATAGGACTTCTATAAACCAATTTACCCAAAGGGGACACATTTTCTTGGCATTTATTAATTTATTTCATGCAAAACCCCAAAAATTATCTGCTCTCTAGGAACTCATAATATACGTAAGTTTCTATTTAAAAAGTACCCTTTTAAGGAAGGGAATAAAAACAGAAAACAGCCTTTATGGGGAACCTGGGTGGCTCAGTTGGTTAAGTGTCTATCTTTGGCTCAGGTCATGATCCCAGCGTCTTGGGATGGAGCCCCACCCTCATCAGGCTCCCTGCTCTGCAGGAGCCTGCTTCTCCCTCTCCCACTCCCCCTGCTTTTGTTCCCTCTCTTGATGTTTCTCTCTCCATCATATAAATAAAATCTTTAAAAAAATTTTTAAATAAAAAATAAAAACAGAAAACAGCCTTTAGATCAGGACAAATAACTGAACTACTTCTGCGGACATAAATCAGTTTTACCACTTGGTCCTAACATGTGAACAAATTTAGAATACCAACTAAAACTGGTTGTATCTTTTTAAGAAATTGTGAAATGTGAAAGACTTTTTTGCTGTAGACTAAAATTCGCCAGTAGTTACTTTAGGCATTTTAGGCCAAGGAGAAATAATTCTTGTCCTGTACAACGGTATCATAGATATAGCAGCTGGCAAATATATTGAGCAAGGATTAATAACAACACTATTCCCTAGAGGGTAATTTCTTCCAATAATAGAAATAAGTAAACAAATGCCTCTTAGGAACCTTTTTTTTTTTTAAAGGAAAACAGATGAATCAGTGTTGTTTGTGGATATCTACATTTGACACATCAAGTTTTCATTAATGGTGAAAACAAATTTGAAAACAGTATACAAATTTGCCTATGGATAAACACCCCCTTTGTGTACTAAAGTTAAACAGCACTAACACATTATATGAAGCCTAACTACAAAATACACTACACAACAGTTTACCTTCAAAGCCATTTCAAAAACCTACTATTAAATAGTAAGTGCCAATTTCCCATAAGAAAAAGACTATAAATGAATTAGCTAAATTCTTCTACACATTCTATATATAGGAACTTTGCCACATCCTCACTCTCGTTTTTAGCTTCTTTGCCAAATAACTACTAAGAGTTTCAAAATACATTTATACAGAACTTTAACAGACATACACCAACAGGCAGCGTATATTAAAACACCAGCTTACTGTGTTTAGGCTTCTCTAGTTAACCAACTATCCTGAACAGGCTGCTTTTAAACAAAGCCCGCCCATTAAATCAACAGAAAGCAGGCTACAAGAAATGCACTGAATCTGGCAGGGAAGAAAAAGTAATCTGTCAGTAAAGCTTTTAAGGGACCACCTTAGGGACAGTAACAACTGACAGTATCAAAATGACAACTTTTTAAGTGTTGCCTTTAAATGAAACATTAAGCTGAATTACAATAAGCTAAGATAACCAGTATACCAGTAATCTTCACCAAATTATACCTCATTAGTTCAACAGATATTTGTGTCCCTACCATGTCATCAGACACTGTGTTAGGCACTGAGGTTGTAACTAGAACAAGCAGGCGAAGACCTCACTCTGAAGGAGTTTATATGTAATCCAGTGAGCTATCTTCAGGAAGTAGCAAAAACAGCAAGTACTCAATGACTGAAACAAAGACAGGTAAAGATTTTCCTTTAGTTAAACACACACACACAGAAATTTTCTATCTATCCTTAAACTTTTCTAACAATATTCTCTATATATAGACATATTTTTATTGAACTTGGCTTCTGGTACATCTGCCATAACATAGACTAAAGAAATGAAAGTAGGGGGAAAAAAAAGTCAAGACAGAGTGCATTTAAGTTTATTAAACATTATTTCCCTAGTTCTTTGCAAAAGCAGGCATGGCCACATACATGCAAACACAGACCTGTTGATGTGGTATCAGTATTCCTGGGAGCCCTTTAGAGCACCCACACCAGTGTATGTTCTAAAGGTTAAACAATCGCATATAGCAGATAAAGCATTTTCATTTGGAATTAGCACAAGTGTTCACAAGAGCGTAATAAATAAGAACTCTCCACTTTAGGTGTTTCTAAACGTTTCCCATTGGTCTCTTCTTCCCCCACTGATCTCTTTAGTCACTGCAAGTCTTTTTCTTTTTTTCTTTAGCAGAGGGAGTGACGTGGCAGGAGAGACAGAAAATGACCCTGGAGAAGCCGTGACTAGGGCCAAGCTCAGCACCTCCTCCCTCTGCTCCACGTTGTATACCCAGCACACCACCACTCCCACAGGGTTCCAGAAATCTTACGTCTTCTCATATACAAAAGGCGATCTATTTAGGCGGGGATCTAAATGGAAGTGGGAGCTTGGGGACCAGTCTCGAAGCTGTGTGTGCACACCAGGCACGGTTTTTCTTTAGACTCGGGAGGCAATGATGGCACTGACGGGTGCTCCAGCGGTCCCCAGTCACCCCTGGTGCCGGCAGCGCCTCTCTCTATACCACACTTTCAGCTTTAGGTTAGGCGTGAGAGTAGAGCCCTTTCTACGTGGGAAGAGCACTGGGGACCCAGGCTCGTTTGCCTGAACCCATGAGAGCGGTTTATCAACAGGTCAGGAGTTAGTGTGGTGGGGAAGCCCAAGCACACTGCCGCATCCCTCTCCTCTCCCAAGCTGCTGACGCCCTCCCACCCCCATCCCCCCAGGCTGACACCCAAGGAGCTAAGAAGTAAAGCGGAGGCTTCCAAGTAGAGTCCCCGGTCACAAACCACCGATGGGGAGCCCAGGACACGTAAAGAATAACAACCCAGCCCGCGAACCTCCGTCCGCCCCCAACATCGTCCCGCCCCTCCCCCTTTCCCGCTCAGTCCCCCCAAAAGGCTCCGCTCGGGGAAGCCAGGCCCGGGGGTGGTGAGGTGCAGGAGAGCTAACGGAAGAAGGCGACAGAGAGGAGGACAGGAAGCCGGGACGGCGCCCCCTGCCCTCCCAGCCCCACTTACTCACCTCCGGGGTCGAGGGTCGGCGCCTGGAGCCGCGGCTGGGCGGAGGGAGCCGGCAGCACGGAAGAGCGCTGCGGTGGCTTGAGCGATTGTCACAGCCCCGGGCAGCTGCGGGTTCGGGAGGCGCTTCCTCAGGCTTTGGAGCCAGAAGACCCCGTTGGCGACGACGGCAGTAGCGGCCTCTGGCTGCGGACGTGGCGCCGGACGCGACCCGCCCCCTCCGCCGCCTCCTCAGCTCCCGCCTCCTCCCGCGGCTCCGGCTCCGACGCGCAGGCGCACTCCAGGCCCCTCCCGCGCCCACCTGGCACACGCCCACCCGTTTCTCGAACTGCGCTGCCCTCCCAGCAGCCCCCAGCCGGCCGCCTCTGAGCGTGCGCACGCGCGGCGCCCCTGCTGCCTGCTCCCGCCCCTTGGCCCCCTGGGTACCTCTGCGGGAACCCCTGGCCCGCCTGCGCGCGCGCCTTGTCCAGGGGCCTTCCGCCCCCTTTCCTCCACGGTCCAATCAGATCGGGCGAGGGGAGCTGAGCCCCGGGAACGCGCTGGCTGCGGGCCTCAGGGTTCAAGCGCTCGCCCCGCGGCTCAGTGAAGCTTTCGTTCAGCTGCAAGTAACGGTCGGTCGGAATTGAGAGCCTTTCCCCTAGGGACGGTGGGATGGTGTCCAGTTTTTCGGGCTCTTAGCCCCTGGGCTTCAATCTTCTTCCCTCCCCTCCTGCCCTTCAGAATAGTGACGAGCTAGGCCTTCTGTCAGCCCTTCACTGTGGGGCTCTTGACGCGAGCCCTTACTGTCCAGGTGACAGCGGTGGCGACAGGGACGTTGGGGTCGTTATTATAAAGCCGCCCTGGCCCGGAATTGGCAGGAAGAACCGCTGCGGTTGGTGCTGGTCGCCGGGCCTCCTGCAGCGTTGAGGGCTCGCCAGGCGCTCCCAGGAGGAGAGTGGGTGCCTGGTGGTGGATAGAGAAGTGAGTCGGAAGTTAGAACCCTGGCGCGGCGCCCTTCCCTCGCCACCGGCTGACTCGCGGGGTGCCTCTTCTCGCCTCCCCGCCGCGGCAGAAGCTCTGCCTGCGGTTCTGGAAGGTGTGGAGACGCGTGTAGCGCTGAGACGACGCTGTCTGCACCTGAGCTCTGGGCGATGGGAGGCGTCTCACTCTTACTGCAGGTGTCGTGGCGACGCAAGGAGATGAGGGGCGCAGAGGCCGCTCAACTAGGTAGATGGGACCCGCTCACCTTCCTCTGCCCCTCCTCCCACACCGTAACGCGAAGAGGAGAGGAAGTCCATCGTAGGTTTTTTGAGAGTATCAAGAGGTGGTGGGTGTGAAAGGGCTTTCCAAAATGTGGATTCCTGTACAAGTCCGAGATCTTCCTTGTCGGTCCGGTCGGCAAGACAGAACGCACGCGAAGCAGCCAGTCAATAACCTCACAAAATGTTTTGTTTTGTTCCCCGCCCCCGCAATGCAAAATAGAGTGATGCAACCGAATAGTAACTGTTGACCAGGCTCAGAAAGGGACACGCTAACCCAAGAGAGCAGCCTGGAAGAAGCTAAGTTTGACCCAGGTCATAAAGGTAGTGAACTAAATATAGTTTATGGTCTCAGCTGAGTCATTGACTTATCAAAGCAGTAAATCAGATCCATTTAGACTATTGATCTAAGACTATGAGGACATTTTAGTTTCCCAGAACTTAAAGGGGAAATTAAATAATATTGTCACTTTAAAATATAATTTGGACAGGGCGGGGTGGGGGTGCCTGGGTGGCTCAGTCAGGTAAGTGTGGGATACTTGATTTCCGCTCAGGTCAGGATCTCATGATCCAGCCCCTGCCACAGTGGGCGTGGAGCCTGCCTAGAATTCTCTCTCTCTGTCCCTCCTCCCTTCCCTTTCTAAAAAAAAAATTACAAAAATAAATAAAATATGATTTGGATGATTATCAGGCTCTGAGGATTGCGGTATTTACCCAAAATGTGAAGAGTTGAGTTACCTACTCTATTATCACAGAAACCTCTGTCCCTAATACCTAACTTTTCCAGGGTAAACACTAGGCAGAATGACAAGTGGACAATTACACTGTGCTTCCCTTGCACTTCTTTCTCTCTGCAAGAGAATTTAATCATTATTAAAGTATAAATGATTAATAAAACTGAGGTCGCTCCTGGGAGATTACATTTTTACAGTTAAAATTTAAGTCGTAATCCACAGCAGTGGTTAAAAACCACCACATAAACCAACCAAGATGGAGGGAAGCTCGTTGGGTTGTTGTGAGTCCACTAGAACCTTGTAAAACTACCAGTATAGATAGTCATGTATTTTTTGTAAGGCTGACACCATCATTTCTTACTGCCTCGGTTTTCAAACTTGTAAAAGTGAATAGCACAACTTGGTGCTCACCCACCACTAGATCTGAAATGAAAATATTATGATCATGATGAAATGGCTTCTACAGAGAATTCTCTCTTGATTTGGAGTACTGTGGTATGGCAGAAGGAGTCTCAAGAACTCAGGCCCACTTCATTTTATAGACTGAATCCACTCAGGTCTTTTTTCCTGTTCTGTGAAATCTCATTCTCAGATTATTAAAATGAAACCATTTCTAGATGTTATTTTGATTGACTAATGTCTTAAAATGATGAGTCCTTGGAGCCTTCAGGCAATAACTTTCTTTTAATCAAACAAATTCTTAATGCAGCCTTTATCAGTTATCCAGTTTCTTAGATCACTGTTTTCCTCTGGTTGGTTACACACAGACAGCCTTCTGCATTATTGAAAAACTAGAAATTAGGTGTGATATTGCATGCTTAACAAGAGGGGGCATTCAAAAAGTAAGGGCCAGAAAGAAGCAAGCTGTACACCAGAAACATGAAAGCAAAAAATAAATTATTTATAGACATTGAAGTTGAAAGGGATCCCAATCCAACTTTCTATCCATCACATGAATCTGCCTCCTAGCATAGGCATAATAATAGTTTTCGTCATTGAGTTGTTGACCACTCTTCTCAGTGCTTCTATGTAAATTCACTTAAATGACGAATTACTTGGTGTAAGGTCCACATATTTTCCTATGTTCCATCATATTTTTATGAATGTATTGCATTATCCTGGCATTTTGAAATGAGCTGGACAGTTAACAGCTTTATATAGATTATCACCCAATGTAAATTATTTTGCTTTTCTATTCTCAATTTCTTACTGTTCTTTGACTTTCCTGGAACAATTACCTGGGCTATTCTTGGTTTTCCTTTCTGTGCCCCAATGGCTTTCTTAACCTTTTGTGATAGAACTAAGGTTTTTTGGCAGGTGTTGTTTTTGTTTTTGTTTTTTTTTAGGATTTTATTTGTCAGAGCAAGAGAGAGCACAAGCAGGGAGAGAGGCAGGTAGAGGGAAAAGCAGGCTCCCTACTGAGCAAGGAGCCCGATGCAGTACTTGATTCCAGGACCCTGGAATCATGACTTGAGCTGAAGGCAGACACTTAACCAACTGAGCCACCAGGTACCCCTTGACACAAGTTTTTAGCACATATCTCATTCCTCCCAATAATCCAATGAAGCAAGTACTGTTATCCCCATATTCGTATGAGGAAACTGATACATAGAGAAGTTAAAGAATTTATCCAAGGGCCCACAGCCCTTAAAGAGCAGATCCTGGTATAAAACACGTTTTTGTTTTTGTTTTTTTTTCTCACTCTAGGGCCTTAGTTCTCAACCACCAAATTCTGAGAGAAAAAAGCAGTTCCTGACATCAAGAGGCTGACCTGGTGCTATCAGCCAGGTCTTGGTGTTGCCAGGAGCTGGCCTGGCATAGCTAGGCCTTGATGTCTCCTATGGAACATAAACAGTTTCAGAGAACGTCAACATCAGAAAAGGCCACTGCATAATCATGATGGATCAGGACAAAAATAAGACTACTCCATAACCATTTCTGGACATAGAAACATGAACCTTTCCAAGCCACCAAATAGAAAACACAAACTGAAAATATCAAATAATGTGAGTGACTTACTTCTTTACCAGTTAACAGCTTTAGCCTCGTGCTAGTCTTTCCTCTTTCTACAAAAGATTTCTTAAGATACTCAACCATAGACTTACCACTGCTTCCTGACAGCATACAGTTTAAAGCAAAGTTCCCCAAATGAGCTAACACAAATCCAAATCTTAATCTTAAGTCCTTCCTCTTACTGAGATGCCTCACTGCTCCCCATAGTGTGTGCTTTCCCTCACTGAAATGAGTAATAAGGTGGTGCCTCGGTGGGTTAAGCCTCTGCCTTCAGCTCAGGTCATGATCTCAAGGTCCTGGGATCAAGTCCCACATTGGGAATCTCTGCTCAGCAGGGAGCCTGCTTCCTCCTCTCTCTGCCTGCCTGCCTCACTGCCTGCTTGTGATCTCTCTCTGTCAGATGAATAAATAAAATCTTAAAAGAAAAAAAAAATGAGTAATAAGTGTACGTTGTTAAACCACTGATGTGTTCCTGGTGATCCCTGGCTAGAGAGCACTGATAGTTCTTTCTGGACTGTCCTATACAATGCATACCTACAGAGCAGAAAGCACGCTACTTACACATCTCTTGCCAAAGAAAGTGGGAACTCTTCTCCCATCACTAGCCATAAGATTGTCACACCAAAGCTAAACGCTGTCCTTCATTTTTGTAGATTCTATATAGAGTGTTTGATAGATGGAATCTTACTGAAAGACAATGAAAAGAAAAGAAAATGTTGGAATAATTGAACATTATTTTGCAAGAAGAAATGAACAACCTGTCAACCCATAGTACTTGCTTCATTAGATTATTGGGAGGAATGAGATATGCACTAAAAACAAAATAACTGAAAATGGATCTAAACACTTTTAGAAGAAAACGAGAAAATCTTTGTGACCCTAGGTTAGGCAAAAAATTTCTGACACCACCCAAAGTTCCATTAAAAGATTAATTTAGAATAATGTCTGCTCTTTGGATGTCAGTGTTTAGAAAATGAAAAATAACATACTGAGAGAAAATATTTGCAAAACATATCTGATAAATGACTGTATCCAGAATATATGAAGAACTCCTACAACTCAATAAAAAGACAAGTAATAAACCAGTTTTTAAAACATTGGGGTACTTGGGGCACCTGGGTGGCTCAGTTAAGCATATGACTTCAGCTTAGTTCATGATCTCAAGTTCTGGAGATTGAGCCTTATGTCGGGCTCCCCACTCAGCAGGGAGTGTCCCTGCTCCATCTGCTCCTCCCCCTGCCTTCATGCTCTCTCAAATAAATAAAATCTTTTTAAAAAACTGGGGTAGTTGAATGATCACCACAGGAGATAAACGGATGGCAAAAGAAATCATCATTAGTCATTAGGGAAATGCAAATCACATTGAAATATTACTCTTTGGTCAAAATAAAAATAATTCCAGGGGTGCCTGGGTGGCTCAGTGGGTTAAGCCTCTGCCTTTGGCTCAGGTCATGATCTCAGGGTCCTGGGATCAAGCCTTGCATCAGGCTCTCAGCTCAGCAGGGAGCCTGCTTCCCCCTCTCTGCCTGCCTCTCTGCCTACTTGTGATCTCTCTCTGTCAAATAAATAAATAAGATCTTTAAAAAATAATAATAATTCCAAGTGCTGTTGAGGTTATGGAGCAACTAGAACTCCCAGACGTTGTGGGTGGGACTGTAGAAAATAGTAGAGTGACACTTGAGTAAAATTTGGTAGGTTTTTTTTTTTTTCTAAGATTTTGTTTATTTATTTGATAGATTTAGAGAGAGCACAAGTAGGCAGAGCAGCAGGGAGAGGGAGAAGCAGGCTCTCTGCCAAGCAGGGAGCCTGATGGGGCTTGATTGCAATCATGACTGGGCCAAAGGCAGCTGCTTAACCGACTGAGCCACCCAGGTGCCCCAATCAGGCAGTTTCTTATAAAGTTAAACATAAGCTTACTATATGACCCAGCAATACCATTCCTAGATATTTACCCAAGAGAAATGAAAACATGTTTACACAAAAACTTGGATGCACTTTTTATAATAGCCAAAGACTGGAAACAATCCAAGTGCCTTTTAATTGGTGAATGGATAAGCAAATAATAGTTTGTATATACAATGGAATCTATTCACAATAAAAGGAACAAACTACTGATATAACAACATAAATTAATCTCAAGTGTATTCTTCCAAGTGAAAGATGCAAATTCAAATATCTATATACTGGTGTTTCCATGTATATGACATTCTGTAAAAGCCAAAACTATATGGAAAGAAAACAGATTAGTGATTGCATGGGAGTTGGGAAGTGTTGACTATAGAGGGGCTTGAGGGACTTTTTGGGGTGAAGGAACTTTTCGGTATCTTGAATGTGATGTGGGTTACACATTGTATCTTTCAAAACTCAAGAGTTTTGGGGCACCTGGGTGGCTCAGTTATGCACTTGCCTTCGACTCATGATCCCAGGGTCCTGGGATTGAGCCCCACAGCAGGCTCCTTGCTCAGCAGGGAGCTTGCTTCTCCCTCTCCCTCTGCCTGCCACTCCCCCTGCTTTTGCTCTCTCTCTCTCTCTCTCTCTCTCTCTGTCAAATAAATAAATAAATAAATAAATAAATAAATAAAATCTTCAAAAAAATCACCCTCATAGAGTTTTGAAGAAATCTTAGAAGCAATTTTATTGCATGTCAATTATATTTCAATAAGCCTTATTTTAGAAAAATGTTGAAATGGAAGAAAAGTTGAGATGGGGTAGGGCCACAGGGCACTATGAATACAAAGACAACAGTAGCCTACCTGATAATTAAATTCTAAATCTTAAAAAGATAAATTATTAGTGCATAACCCACATTATGAAACAACTTGTCCTTTTTTTCTTGTAAAGTAAGTTCATAGTACGTTGAAATGTTTTTGTAGAGGGGTGCCTGGGTGGCTTAGTCAGTTAAGCATCTGTCTTGATTTTGGCTCAGGTCATAATCTCAGGGTCCTGGAATCAAGCCCTGTGTCAGGCTCCCCACTCAGTGGGGAGTCTGCTTGTCTTCCTCTCCCTCTGTCCCTCCCCCATGCTTGTGCTCAAGCTCTCTTTCTCTCATATAAATAAATCTTTAAAAAAGGGGGGGGAACTATTTGGTTTATAATAGAGTAACTTAAAACTGCAGTTTAAAGTCACTACCAACTAATTATGAATCAGAAATTAAGATAAAACATCTCTGAAACTAAGAACTGTGGGAAAATATATTTGGATTTCAAAAACTCTGATTTACAGCTTTGCAGGAACATGTTTATTGCAAAATGAGTTTCCTATTGCTGTACTGTAGAGGTAAAGGCATTTGAGAGCCTACCAGGGCCAATAGTGGTCAAGTAGGCAAAATTAGGTAAAAACATAGAAGCAAATTGAGCATCTTTAACTTGGCTTGTGTTACTGATAGGATGTTCATGAAGTGGGCATGCTATGAAATGCTCCCCTTTAGGAGCATATGTGGCTGCTCTCCTTTGGACCTAGGAAAAGGGAATAAAGATGAGAATATTTGCTTATCCATTCACCAATTAAAAGGTACTTAGATTATTTCCATTTGGGGGCTATTATAAATTGTGTGTCCAGGTTTTTTTTTTTTTTTTAAGATTTTATTTATTTATTTGACAGAGAGAGAGAGAGAGAGAGAGATCACAAGTAGGCAGAGAGAGGAGGAAGCAGGCTCCCCGCTGAGCAGAGAGCCCGATGCGGGCCTCGATCCCAGGACCCTGAGATCATGACCTGAGCCGAAGGCAGAGGCTTTAACCCACTGAGCCACCCAGGCGCCCTGTGTCCAGGTTTTTGTGTAAACATCCTTTCATTTCTCTTGGGTAAGTATCTCATTTAAGGAAGATTTCAAATGTGCTAATACTTTTATAACCTCTAATATGTTATGTAGAGATCTAGCAGAGATACAGGTGGATTAATCTGAGATTAATTTCTCAGTCCATGCTAATGGCCTATCCTGGATGTCACCCACTAGTGCCCAGAAGGCCTCCTTTTAATGGACTTTCTCATTTCTCTTTTCTACAGTGGCAGTGGTGGCCAGGGTCTTCACTCTGCTTAAGTCCTCCAGGCGCCTTCTAAGAAGCAGTTAAAGAAGGCTGCACAGTACCTGGAAACCTTCCAGTTTCACTTGTAGAATTCAGCCTCACTCATAGTTCCCTTGGTGAGTATGAAACTTCTATCAGATTGCCATAGAGCTGTCTGCTTAAAGGGTCTCGATGTGCCAGGTTGGTTTATCCACCAACTCTTCCAGCATCAGTAGCTACTGTTGACTTTGCTTTCCTGAAGTATCTTGACAGCTATTCGAGAAATTTTTCCTGAAGGAGAAAAATTTTGGAGTCAAGCATTTCATATCCAGTATGTCTTTGGGGTCAACCAGTTGTACTTCCATATCTTTCATAAAGTCATTTTTAATTTGTGTATTCCTAGTTAGGGATTCCGTATCATCAGATTTCCCTGGTACCACTTCTTTCTGCTCAGCTATAGTGAATTTTAAAGAAAAATCTCCTTCTGACTTAGCCCCATTTTTTTTATCCCTGAATTCAAGTTCCTCTTTGGCATTTGTCGGTTCCTTTTCCTGTTCTGCAGTTCTGTCTGAGTCTCCTAACCCAGAGCTGGGACAGAGCGTCTATAATTGCTTAAAGATTCTTTTATTTCTTCTGTCAATTGATCTTCTTTTCTTCTTTCAGCCACTGAAGGTTTGTCTGGCTCTTCTCTCCTTATATGACTTAGAATTTTTTCAAGCCCAGTGTAGTCTGCATTTTTTTGCAGTCTCCCCCCTAACCCCTCCATGGTCCGAAGAGACAGTGCAGGCTACAATGTCTACACTAAAGGTAGTGTTTTCTCTTCCCAATAGTTCCAAAAAGGGGGGAATTCAATTATTGAAAAGAAAATAACCAATTTTTTAAAAAGATTTTATTTGTTTATTTTAGAGAGAGAGAGAGGGAGAGCAAGTGAGGAGGGGTAGAGGGGGAGGGAGAGGGAGAAAGAATCTGAAGCAGACTCTATACCGAGTGCAGAACCCAATGCAGGGCTGGATCTCAGGATCCTGAGCTGAAACCAAGAGTCAGATGCTTAATCCACTGAGCTACCCAATCACCCCAGAAAACAATTTTAATAAAATTTATGGTAAGGTTGAAATAAAGTGGATACTTTCATAGGCTATTGCTCTATCTTGATCTTAGTGAAGAACCATTTTATTGTAGGAAATTGGTTTTTAGAAAGGGATCATTTTGTTGTGAGAAAGAGAAACCCATTTGAGCTAGAGTCAAACAGAGGTGGAATTGGGAAGATGATTGTGTAGACATCTTATGGAAGGCAAGGACAGTAAGTGTAACCAGATCTCATGAAGGTCTATAACCCTGAACTGGTAGGCTCTCTATCTATGATTGAGGAAGATAATAAAAGTTATCTTTCCATATCCCTTACCAGATTAGCTTCAAACCAGCTTTCCTGCTGTAATTATTGAGACTCAGGTCTGCCTAGAGAAAACAACTTATTTAAAAACAACCCTGTTTAAATCTGGCTTCTACCCCTGGCTCCACCCTCTAGAGTAGTAGAATGCTAAGTGTCCTATAGCTTGATTCTGCTGCAGGCCCTGCTCTTCCTATGGGCTGTTTGGCTTTGGTTTCTCTTTGAATAGTTTCTCTCATTAGTTGAGGGAACTGCTGTAGCCTTTGTTTCTTGTAACCAGAAGAATCTAACCAAAACATTGGGCGTTTCTGGGACGCCTGGGTGGCTCAGTTGGTTGGGCAGCTGCCTTCAGCTCGGGTCATGATCCCAGCGTCCTGGGATCGAGTCCCACATCAGGCTCCTTGCTTGTCAGGGAGCCTGCTTCTCCCTCTGCCTCTGCCTGCCATTCTGTCTGCCTGTGCTTGCTCTCTCTCCCTCTCTTTCTCTGACAAATAAATAAATAAAATCTTTAAAAAAAAAAACAAAAAACATTGGGCGTTTCTTACATACCATCCGTGTGTTTAGCACTAGAAGATAGGTGATACAAATCTTATCCCTAGGTAGTTCGCTCTTAAGGCAAGACATAGGCACATCAAGCATTTGCAAATCATTGAAGAATAATACAAATAAATGTTAAATGAGTGGCCTGACAATGAGGACTGAATGAATACAGAAAAGAGAGATCTGGATGTGGTCTGCAGAGAGCTTCTAAGATAAGGAGGTGGGAGGAAGTTATTTCTTAGTAAGTATTAAGTGCCTACTTTCACAAGGACTTGAGCTGGATACTTTTAAGTAGGCAGAGTGGAATGATTACTATTTTCCATTCACATCCAGTATAAATATTAGACCCACAAAGGGAACTAGTAGTAAAAACTTCACCTTGGGACAAAGCACCCAAAATGGTAGCAGAGTTCACCTGACAGAGCCTTTTCAATGATAAAGAGTTAAATGGCAATGGGTGAAGTTGAGCAAGGTAAAGCTTTAAGAAAAATGCACAGTAGAGCAGCATAGGGTCTATATTGTCATCGGCAACAGTCAGGTTAAAAGAACCTGTATGTTTACCCTGGGACGGGGGCTTACTGAGTTAACATTTTCTATTTGACCCAGAGCACAGTATGGTTGTCTGGGATTTGTGTGAACTTCAGAAAGAGAGCCTCTCAATTAGGCCTGTGTTTGGGAGCTACTTCCCACCTATGAATTAGGCAATACTGTATGCATTATAAAGGGTATGGTTTCTCTTTTACAGCTGAAGAGAAAGAAAAACCTGAGAATATCTAGGATCTTAAATCCTCTATAACCAGGGAAGACAGATTTCTCCTAACATGAAATACTAATATCAAACAATATGCAAAGGCAAATGAATTCCAAGAGAGGAAACCCTGTTTTAGAGCAACTTTTGAAATCTGTCATATATACTCACATAGAATTTGAGGGAAATAACCACAAATCCTTCACCAAAGTGTGAAGGAGCCAACATTAATCTCTCCCTAGGTCTAAAACTGCCAAGCTAAAATTTGTTATCAAATTTTATGACTCCTTGACCTACTTTCCTTCTTTGCTTTGAGGGCACATCCTTACATGGGGTCTAATCATTTATTTGCCAAGAGATTAATTAGCTTTTCAGAGCCTCTGTGCTAGTTAATAGTCCCAAAATAGACCACTAGTCCCACAGCCTATTGCTTCTTAGGAAGATGGATTATAGGAGTGACAAAATTTGAGCAAGCTATATCTGTCAGTGCCTCTACGCTTATGAAAGATGTGACCTCCAACCCTTTCAGCTCAGTTGGTCTCTAGTGCGTTGCCTTAATTATGCTCCCCCTTCCTTCAAGATTCCTGGAGCCTTGAGTAGATAAACCTAAGTTTCAAGGTTATGTGACTAGCAATGTGATATGGTGAATCAAAGTCCAGGTGCTATAACCAGACTTGGGTTTTAATCATGACTCTGCTGCTTTGATCAGGTTACCTGTCTGGGCTTCTTTTCCCTGATCTCTAAAATGTAGACTGATAGTCCTCATCTCCTAAGATTGTGATGATGCTCAAGGAACAATGTGTTAAACTGCTTACCCACAGAGTAAATATTCTGTATATAGGAGCTGCTTGTATTGTGATAGAGTTGAAGGCACAGCATCTTCTGCCTTCAAGCTATTGAGGCTTGAGGGCGCATTGGATCCACTGGGGCTGTCAGAGCTTCAGGGGAGCTAAGAAACATGGATGTCTTTGACTAAATTGTTGATCAATGTAGCAGAATCTGAATTTTTCCCACTATACCCAAATGTGAAAACAGATAGCCCTCTATTCCTATAACTTGCCTTGATGCTCTGATTCCCTCTGGTGGCAGAGGAAAAATCACAAATTGCCAGCTATTATAGGTCTCTTTCCGTAATAAAGAGTCAACTTAGAGTCGACTTAGCCTCCTTAGGGATAAATGCTTAGTTTTTCAGGGTGGTCTTCCCCACCATACCCCTTCCCAAAGGGGCTGCGTGTTGTACATGATGACCTCATGGCAAGGTAGAAGAGGTGGCTGCTCTGTGAATGGGTTCTTGGGCTCTCTACTAGGTCTTCACTGGTGTTTTAGGCTCCATACAAATCTCATGTTCTAGTGCCTTCTCATCTTGACTTCTAAACAGTAAGTCGCAGGGCTCAGCTCAGGCTTCAGATATCTTAATCAAAAGTAACCCCCTAGGGGCACCTGGGTGGTTCAGTAAGCCTGTGCCTTCCGCTCAGTAATCTCAGGTCCTGGGATTGAGCCCCGCATTGGGCTCTCTGCTCAGCAGGAAGCCTGCTTCCCCCCCGCCCACCCCACCCGCCTGCCTCTCTGCCTTCTTGTGATCTCTGTCTGTCAAAGAAAGAAAGAAAGAGAAGTAAACCCCTAGATTGAGTAACTTCAGTTACTCCTCTAGTTCTTGTATCGTGGCTTTAAATATTATGTATATGCCAGTTACTCCTAAAGTAATATCTCTAGTCCAGACCTCTCCCTTGAACTCCAGGCCTGTATATATAAGTGCTTGTCTATAGAAGTCTGCAGTTAAGAAGTCTGCAAATAAGACTAGGCATGACTGAAAGCACAGTTAGGGGCATAGAGATTAGAAATGAGAAAAGAAAAGATGAAACAGAATAAAACAAAGACATTAAGAAAGCTAGAGCAAATGGCAAATAATGGAAGACAGGCAAAATACTTAATTCTCCCCTAAGAAGAAAAGCAGAACAGCAGAACATAAAAATACTTATAAGAAAATTTTAAAATATATTTTTTCTGGGAAAAAAACCCTGAAATCTACATTTTAACTGATACATAATAATTTAGGGAAAATTTGCTCAGTAATGCCCAACACAATATTTTATTAAAACCATTGGACATTAAAAGATAATATGACTTCAAGAAGAAAACAACATAAAATACTCATGATCTTGGGTTAGACAAAGTACAACACCAAAATCATTTAGACACAACACCAAAATCACTTCCAGAAGAGATAAAATTGATAAACTAGACGTCATCAAAATAAAACTTTTGCACTTCCTGATACACCATTGGAATAGAAAGACAAACCTCAGAGAAAATATTCGCAAATCTTGTATCTGATACAGGAGTTGTATCCAGAATATAGAAAGACCTTAATAATAAAAAGACAACACAATTAAAAAACCCAATGAGCAAAATATTTTATTTTTTTAATTTTTTAATTTTTTTAAATTTTTTAATTTTTTTAAATTTTTTAAATTTTTAAATTTTTTAATTTTTTAATTTTTTAATTTTTTTTAGCAAAATATTTTATTTTTTTTAAAGATTTTATTTATTTGACAGAGCGAGAGATCACAAGTAGGCAGGGAGGCAGGCAGAGAGAGAGAGGGGAAAACGGGCTCCCCGCTGAGGAGAGAGCCTGATGCGGGGCTCAATCCCAGGACCCTGAGATCATGACCTGAGCTAAAGGCAGAGGCTTAACCCATTGAGCCACCCAGGCGCCCTGAGCAAAATATTTTAATAAGCATTTTACCTGTAAAAGATATATGAATGACTAATAAATACCTGAAAAGATGTGTAAAATCACTAGTCATTAGGGAAATGAAAATCAAATCTATTGAGATACCACTTCACACCCGCAAAAATGGCTATTATTAAAAGATAGGCTACAATCTATGATGATTTTACTATAGTCCTAGAGAAATTAGAACCCTCAGACACTGCTGGTGGGGGTATAAAATGATACAACCATTTTGGAAAACAGTTTGGCAGTTTCTTAAAAAGGTAAACAAACTTACATATGACCTAGCATTTCCACTCCTAGGTATCTGCCCAAGAGAAATGAAAAGCAAATATTTTCACAGAGACTTGTACACAGAGGTTTCTAGGATTGGCAATAGCCTGTGTAGAAATGATCAAAATGTTCATCAGCTGGTGAATAGATAAAATATAGTAGTCAATTCTCATTATTCATGGGTTCTGCATACGCAGATTTCCCTGCTTGCTAAAACCTATTTGTAACCTCAAAAATCAGTAAGAATTTCCAGGCCATTCTTGGATATGCACATGTGCAGAGCAGCAGAAAATTTGAGTCACCCAACAAACATGTTCCCGCTGAGGTCAGATAAGGTGACACTCTGCCTTCTCTTTTCAGTCCTGTTCCTGTACCCAGTTGTCCTTTTGCAGTCTATTTAATGCCATTTTTTTCCCTTTTTTTTTTGGTGCTTTTTGTTGGTGATTTTGTTTAAAAAGGCATCTAAGCCTAGGGCTGAAGTGCTGGCTAGCATTCCTAAGCACAAGAAGGTTTTGATGTGCCTGTTGAGAAGAAGACGTGTTAGAGAAGCTTCATTCAGGCATAAGTTATAGTGCTGTTTGCCATGAGTTCAATGTTGTTGTTTTTTTAAGATTTTATTTTATTTATTTATTCGACAGAGAGAGAGAGCGAAAGAGCACAAGCCAGGAGACAGAGGGAGAGGGAGAAGCAGGCTCTCTGCTGAGCAGGAAGCCCAATGCAGGGCTCAATCCCAGGACCGTGGGATCATGACCTGAGCCAAAGGCAGCTGCTTAACCAGCTGAGCCACTTAGGCACCCCCATGAATTCAATGTTAATGAATCAACACTAAATAGTAAATATGGTGTCTTTAGACAGAAACACATACAAAACAAAGTTATATATTATTAGTTGATGAAAATGACACGTTGCAGGAACCTAACCCTGCATTTCCCCTAGGGTCAATAATTCAGTATTCGCTAAATTCAGTGTTTGGAATGATTTTGTAGGACATAACTACTAGGAATAATGAGAATAGGCTCTGTATCCATACAATGGAGTACTGTTCAGCAGTTAAAAAGGACCAAACCACTGATAGATGCAACAACATACATGAACCTCAAAGACATGCTGTATATGTAGGAAGAATGGGAAATTGAGACCCAAAGGAACATGCCAATTCATAATATACAATTAGATAATTTATTATTGAGCAAAAAAATACCACAATGTAGACAAGTTACTCACAAGTGGCTACAAAGCTACAGTGGATTTTTAGTTCTATTTATCTGGAATCAAAGCTACAGTTGTTATACAGCATTCTTTTTTTTTTTTTTTTTTTTTTTGGTCCTGTGAGGAGCCTGACGCAGGACTCGATCCCAGGACCCTGGGATCATGGCCTGAGCCAAAGGCAGTTGGTTAATGAACTGAGCCACCCAGGTGCCCTCCCCACCCATCTTATTTTTAAAAGATAAAGCAATTTTTTCAATTTGTATTACTCGATATATTGAGCTTACTCTGACATCATCTTTTTACAATTCTTTATCAGGCTTACTCTGAAGTCCTGATTTTCATAATCAATCAGACTTACTTTCATATTCTGTTCTTCATAACTTTTATCAGCACCTCCTCTGGCTGCTTCTGCTAGAGCATCTGGTACATATGATTCATTACATGCTTCAACATTCCTCAATAACATTTCCCACTTGTGAAAGAATCCAGATGCAAAAGACTACATATTACGTGATCTCATTTATGTGACTTTTCCAGAAAAGGCAAATCCCTTTGGATTTTTTTTTTCAAAGATTTTATTTTTGAGTAATCTCTATACCCAACCTTGGGCTCAAACCCACAAGCCTGAGATTGTGCTCTATCGACTGATCCATCCAGGTGCCCTGGCAAATCTCTTTTTAAAATTGGGATATAATTGGCATGTACTGTTGCGTTAGTTTTAGGTGTACAACATAATGTTTCAATAGATGTATAGACGGTGAAGTGATCACCACAAGAAGTTTAGTTAACATCCATCACCATACATGGTTACATTTCTTTCTTATGAAAACTTTTAAGACCCACTCTCTTAGCAACTTTCCAGTGTGCAGTACAGTATTGTGAAGCCTGCTGTACCTTAAATCACAGGACTTACTTGTAACTGGAGGTTTGTACCTTGCACCACCTTCATCCATTTCTCCTGCCCCCTCACGTACCACCTCTGGCAACGACTAATCTATTCTCTGTATCTGTGAGTGGCGTTTTGTAAAACACTTGTTTGTTTCTTTAGATTTCACATGTAAGTGAGATCATACGGTATTTGTCTTTTTCTTTATGACGTATTTCACTTATACTGCCCTCAAGTTGCACCCACATTGTTCCAAATGACAGAATTTCCCTTTTTATGGGCAGTTTTTCATTGTATATGTATGCCACATTTTCCTTATCCTTTGATGGACACTTAGGTTGTTTCTGTGTCTTGGCTATTGGAAATAATGCTATACTGAATAAATGGGGGTGCAGATATCTTTTTGATAGTGATTTTGTTTTCTTTGAATCCATAATGGGGTTGCTGAATCACATATTAGTTCTATTAATTTTTTGAAGAACTTCTATACTCTTTTCCATCGTGGCTGCACTAATTTATAGTCCCACTAACAGTGCCCAGGGGTTCCTTTTTTTCCGCATCATTGCCAATACTTGTTAGTTCTTGTCTTTTTGACAGTAGCCATTTTAGCAGGCATGAGGTGATTATCTCATTGTGGTTTTATTTGCATTTCCCTGATGATTAATGATATTGAGTGTCTTTTCAGGTACCTGTTGGCCGTCTGTATGCCTTATTTTTTGAAAAATGTCTCTTCAGATCTTCTGCCCATTTAAAAAACCAGGTTGTGCCTTTCTGCCTGTGGACACTGCCAGGTAAGCATTGTTAAAGTCTCCCCTCCCACCTCCATCATGTCTCAGTCAGAGTCTCCCACAGACCCTGAACAGCTGCGGAAGCTCTTCATCGAGGTTTGAGCTCGGCAACAACGTTGAGTCTGAGGAGCCATTATGAGCAATGGGAACACTTATGGACTGTGTGGTAATGACAGATCCAAAGACCAAGCACTCCAGAGGCTTTGGGTTTGTCACGTATGCCACTGTGGAGACGGTGGATGCAGCCATGAAGGCAGGGCCACACAAGGTGGATGGAAGAGTTGTGGAGCCAAAGAGGGCTCTCTCAAGAGAAGATTCTCAAAGACCTGGTGCCCACTTCACTCTGAAAAAGATTTTTGTCAGCATTAAAGAAGACACTGAAGAACATCATCTAAGAAATTATTCTGAACAGTATGGAAAAACTGACGTGACTGACATCATGACTGACTGAGGCAGTGGCAATAAGAGAGGCTTTGCTTTTATAACATTTGATGACCATGACTCTGTACCCAAGACTGTCATTCAGAAATACCACACTGTGGGGACGCCTGGGTGGCTCAGTTGGTTAAGCAGCTGCCTTCGGCTCAGGTCGTGATCCCGGCGTCCTGGGATCGAGTCCCACATCGGGCTCCTTGCTCATCAGGGAGCCTGCTTCTTCCTCTGCCTCTGCCTGCCATTCTGTCTGCCTGTGC